TTTGACTTGATTCTTGCGATACTCTAGTCTTCTGTTGGAACTCTGCATAATATCCTTTATTTCAGTCAGTGTATGCTTAATTTCTAGTTGGTCCTTTTTCATAACCTCGAGGGTCTCACTAGATTTCTTGAGGGTCTCACTAAATTTATCAGCGGTCTCACTAGATTTCTTGAGGGTCTCACTAAATTTATCGGCCGTTTCTAGAAAATTCTTGAAAAACCTTAAAAGTGTGGTTTTGAACTCTATATCCAGTAGTTTGCTTTCCTCCATTTCTGTCATTTGTGACTTGTTTCTTTGTCTCCGCATTTTTTATGCTTCGCTGTGTTGATAGAGTGGCTTTCTGTGTTAAATGTCCTATAGGGTCCAGTGGCTCAGCCTCCACAATTACCTGAGGTGGACACTCTTGGTGCACCCCCTTGTGGGCTTTGTGCATAGTCTTGTTGTAGTTAAGCCTTGATTTTTGTAGGTATCACTGGGAGGAATTGACCTCCAGGCCAATTGGCTGTGAGAATCAGCTGCGTTTGCAGTGGGAGAACTTCTGAGCTGGAGACACTCTTCTGGGGCAAGACTTGCTTCAGTGGGGCTTTGGTGCTCACTGAGTCTGCCCCCTGAGTGTGTCCCTTATAGATCTGAGGAGTTGTAATTTGGATGGTCCCACTCTGACCACTGGGTACACTGGCTCTTGGATCTCTAAGGAGGTGCTAATTTAGCCTCTGCCTGAGGCTATCCAGCAGGAGCTATGAAGAGTTTCCTCTTCTTTGTTTGGGGTTTGGAGGTGCACAGATGAGGCCCAGCTGTGAAGCTATGCAAGCTGATGTGGGGCCTTGGACCTTCTTTTGGAAGATCTGGGTCTCTCTGATTCAGCTGCAGTATGTTAGGTAATTTTCAGGTTGCAAAGGACCAGGCCTTTCATATGCAAAAGCCTCTGTGCACCCCTTGGGTGGGGCGGGGTCTCAGGGGATCAACAGGGTGGAGCAAGCAACTGTGGCTACTCCCCAGTCCTACCATAAGAGGCCCCGCGTCTCAGTGTCCCGGTAATCGCTGCAAGCACCTCTGAGAGAAAGCTACCCTCGAGTTCTGCCTGATGCCAGACAGTCCAGTTTCTCCCCGTATGAGTCTGGGTCCCCAGAGACTCACTCGGAACTGGAGTTCAGAGCAGTCGGGAGCTTGAGACTCCCTCCCGATTGAAAAAGACAACCGTGTCCTCAACCGCCAGCCCTCGCCACATGCACAGCATCCTCAGCCGCCAGCCCTCTCCACGTGTGCCACGTCCTCAGCCGCCAGCCCTTTCCATGTGCACCGCATCCTTAGCCACCAGCCCTTTCCAAGTGCGCAGCATCTTCAGTTGCCAGTCCTTTCGGCGTGCACCTCTGTACCTCTGCATTTTACTTCTGCACCTCCTCTGAGTCTCAGTGCTTTTCTCTTTCCTTCTAGTTGTAGAATTTCCACTCGGCCAGCCTTCCTGTGGTTCTGGATGATGTCCGTTTCGTCTTTTAGTTGTATTTTTGAAGTGGTTGTGTGATGCAGTAATTTCCAGTGTTTACCTAAGCCGCCATCTTGGTTTCCCCCTAACATCCTTTCTTGATAATAACTCTCAGCAAGGTGGGAATAGAAGGATCATACCTCAACATAATAAAAGCCATATATGACAAACCCACAACCAACATCATACTCAATGGGCAAAAACTAAAACATTTCCCCTAAGAGCAGGAACAAGACAGGGATGCCCACTCTCACCACTCCTATTCGACATAATACTAGAAGTACTAGCCATTTCTTCTTCAGACAAGAAGAAGGAATAAAAGGCATCCAAATTGGAAAAGAAGAAGTAAAACTGTCCTTATTCGCAGATGACATGAAATTGTACATAGAAAACCCCAAAGACTTCATCACAAAACTATTAGACTTAATAAATGAATTCGGCAATTTAGCAGGATACAAAATTAACACCCAGAAGTCTATAGCTTTTCGATACACCAATAATGAACTCACAGAAAGAGAAATTAGAAAGCAATCTCATTTACCATTGCAACAAAAAAATTAAGATACCTGGGAATAAACTTAACCAAGGAGACAAAGGACCTGTACTCAGAAAATTTCAAGACGCTTAAAAAAGAGATAGAGGGCCCTAACTGCTTTGGCTCAGTGGATAGAGCGTCAACCTGTGGACTGAAGGGTCCCAGGTTCGATTCTGGTCAAGGGCATGTACCTTGGTTGCGGGCACATCGCCAGTAGGGAGTATGCAGAAGGCAGCTGATTGATGTTTCTCTCTCATTGATGTTTCTAACTATCCTTCTCTCTTCCTCTCTGTAAAAAGTCAATAAAATATATATTAAAAAAAAAAAGATAGAGGAAGACATGAACAAATGGAAGAATATACCATGTTCATGGATTGGTAGAATCAACATCATTAAAATTTCCATACTACCCAAAGCAATCTATAAATTCAATGCAATCTCCATTAAAATACCAACAGCATACTTCAAAGACCTAGAACAAATTCTACAAAAATTCATCTGGAATAAAAAAAAAAAGACCCCGAATAGCTGCAGCAATCTTGAGAAAGAAGAACAGTGTTGGAGGGGTCATAATACCAGATATCAAGCTATACTACAAAGCCTCTGTTCTCAAAACTGCCTGGTACTGGCACAAGAACAGACATATAGACCAATGGAACAAAACAGAGAACCCAGAAATCAACCCAAGCCATTATGCTCAATTAATATTTGACTAAAGAGGCAAGAGCACACAATGGAGACAAGACAGTTTCTTCAATAAATGGTGTTGGGAAAACTGGACAGATACTTGCAAAAAAATGAAACTAGACCACCAACTTACGCGATACACAAAAATAAACTCAAAATGGATAAAGGACTTAATGTAAGATGTTAAGCCATAAAAATCTTAGAAGAAGCCACAGGCAGCAAAATAGCAGATTTGTCATAGCAATATCTTTACCGATACAGCTCCTAGGGCAATGGAAACTAAAGAGAAAAATAAACAAATGGGACTACATCAAAATAAAAAGCTTCTGCACAACAAAATAAACCATCAATAAAACAAGCCTACTGTATTGGAGAACATATTTGCCAATTTTATCTCCGATAAGGGTTTAATCTCCAACATTTATAGGGAACTCATACAACTTAACAAAAGGAAGATAAACAATCCAATCAAAAAATGGGCAAAAGACCTAAATAGACGCTTTTCGTAAGAGGCCATCAGAAAGCCAAGAAACATATGAAAACATGCTCATAGTCACTAATCATCCGAGAAATGCAAATCAAAACAACAATGACGTACCATCTCCCACCTGTCAGAATGGCTATCATCAACAAATCAACAAATGACAAGTGCTGGAGTGGATGTGGAGAAAAAGGAACCCTTCTTCACTGCTGGTGGGAATGCATACGGGTGCAACCATTGTGGAAAACAGTGTGGCGTTTCCTCAAAAAATTAAAAATGGAACTGCCATTTCACCCAATAATACCACTTCTAGGAATATATCCCAAGAAAACAGAAACACCAATCAGAAAGCATAATGCACCCCTATGTTCATAGCAGCACAATTTACAGTAGCTAAGATTTGGAAACAGTCTAAATGCCCATCAGCAGATGAGTGGATTAGAAAACAGTGGTACATCTACACAATGGAATACTACGCTGCTGTAAAAAGGAAGGAATTCTTACCATTTGCAACAGCATGCATGGAACTGGAGAGCATATTATGCTAAGTGAAATAAGGCAGTCAGTGAAAGATAAATATCACATGATTTCACTCATTTGTGGAATATAAAGAACATTATAAACTGTTGAACAAAAATAGAGGCAAGGAAGCATGGAACAGACTGTCAAACTACAGTGGGAAGGCAGGGGAGGTTTAGTGGGGGGTAAGAGATCAACTGAAGGACTTGTATGCATACATATAAGCATAACCAGTAGACACAAGACACTGGGGGGGGGGGCAGTTGAGGGCAAGTGCCAGGGGGTAGGGGAGGCCGGGAGGAGGTCAATGGGGAAAAAAAAAAAGGAGACATATGTACTACTATTTGTAATACCTTAAACAATAAAATCAAAATAAATAAAAGAATCAGAGTATTCTAGGCTGTGGGGACATGTGTCCTTTAGTGTAGGTCAATGAGTGGCCAACAGAGCTTTTCCTGTTATAGGGATAAATTTTTCTACTTGGTGTGCTCCTTTTCCCTGAAGATGATTTCCTGCCCAAAATTATACATGGGTACATGGGGCACAGGGACGGGGGGCGGGGGGGAGACAAAACTATACATGATCAGCAAGAAGAGCACTAGTGGAGGTTGGACAGGGCCAAAGTGGCGGTTGGCCCATAATACAGGCACAGGCATTGGGTGCCAAGTAAGTCTTTGATGATTTCTTGGAGGAAGGGAGGTGAATACCTCTTATAAACTGGCACTTACAATATCTTCTTTTCACTGTATTGATAAATTCATTGAAGGTTAGCACTATATCCTTAATTCACAATTTCCTAGCACTCATGTTTTTAGCAAATGCTGTTTGTCTACTGTCAACATGTTTGTAACTACTGTGGATTTAATAGAAATGTTCAAACAGATGCTTACGTATAGAAATATAGTTATTTATGGAATGAGCTCTTTTCTTTGCCTCTTTTAAATTAAGAAAATAGTTTTCTCAGATATGTTCAAGGACTATTTATTAAGAACCTGTTGGTGTTCAGAATATATTCAGAGCTTTTAGCTCATTAGTTATTTTATGGCCCGTTAATTTATAGATCAGGAAAGGGAGGCTCTGAAAAATAAATTGACTTAAAATTTATTTTAAAATTGACTTGATTTGTTTACATAGATAATATTAGAATTAATTTAAATACTGTGAAATTCTAAAAGTTAACTTTATCAAATTTACTTTTATGAATATGCTGTATACTTTTCTTATTTATGGTATACCTATAGAGTAGTATCATAGAAATGAATATAAAGTAATCAGTGTGATTTGTTTGTGTACAGAGAAAGAATCGAAGAAGCTACTGACCATAATTCTGAAAAGTATTTTAAAAATTAGTAACACAGAAGGGAAAGAATTGCTTTTGTATTTTGATGCTTCATTAGAAATCACTATTGTGACAGAAAAACTTTTTGGTGCAAATAAACATTGGGTAAGTGTTTAAACTATTTATAATCCATTATTTTCAGATTCTGGAAACTTGGTTACTTGGGATTATAAGTTCCATTAATTTTTTCTAGAATTTTTTAAATGACACATAGATTTTTAGTTCTTTAAATTTGTATTGGAATAGCCATTAGATTGTTAGCCATACCCTTTGAGATACTTATTAGGAAAAATTTCAGATGACAAAATTAGCAGCAGCTACTAAAAGCATTTAATGAATTCCTGCCAATTATTTAAAACATAAAATGAGATGAAGCCCTGTGAGAATTCTGTGAGAATTACAGAATAAACCTCAGAAGATGTAAATAAGTGACATAAGGAAAATGAAGTATAGACATTGAGGGAAGAGAAGACTCCTTAGAAGTCAGACTTGAAGGAAAGGCTGCAGAGATGGGGTTTGAATGGCCTTTGAAGTTTATGGATAAAAGTAGGTACGACCCTTTCCACCACATTATGAGTTAGATATTGTCTAATTGGAAATCCAAGGTGACAATTCATATTATGTTGGGGGGAAATAGTCTGTCGACAAGTTCAGGCTGCTATAACAAAAATACCATAGACTAGGTGGCTTAAACAACAAACATTGATATCTCACTGTTCTGGAGGCTGGAAAGTCCATGATCCAAGGTACCAGCAGACATGGTGTCTCATGGGGGCACTTTTTCTGGTTCATAGTGGCCATCTTTTCACTGGGTCCTCCTCACATGGTGGGTAGGAAAGGTGAGGGAGCTCTCTTCAGTCTCTTTTATTAGGGCACTATCCCATTTATGAGGGCTCTATTTTGGTTAGCTCTTCACCTCCCAAAGGCCCTGCCTCCTAACACTATCACATTGGGGTTTGGGTTTCAACATGAATTGGGGTGGGAGCACAGTCAGTCTATATAGTGTAAAAGATTTATGGTGAAAAACAGAGAATATGTTTATGAGCAGCCCTTGCCAAAATGACGGGCTAAGAAGACTGGTTAGTGGGGAGTCATTAATGTATTCTGAGAAATGTATTTATATATACAAAGTAATGACTTGAAATAATTTGGCAATTTTGAAACAGGTAGGAAATATATTAAAATAGAAAGAGCTAGAAGAAAATGATATCACTGAATTAATTTAATTTTAGGAGTATACCAGCAAACAAGGTATTTCAATTGCCCAAACATCTGTGCATATACATTTTGACGCAAGTGGATCACAGGTATGTGTCTAACTTATTTGATTTTAATCATTGGGCTAAGTTTAACTCAAATAATAGTACAATAATAAAAGTTCATGTTGTAGGGTAACTGTCTAAAAATTAAATTGTCTAAACATGGATACTGAATGCTTCAATAAGATGTTAGTGATTTTTAGACATGTTATTAATGACTAGAGGCCCGGTGCACAAAAATTTGTGCACTTGTGAGGGGGGGAATCCCTCAGCCCGGCCTATGCCCTCTCTCAGTCTGGGACCCCTCGGGGGATGACCACCTGCTGGCTGAGGCCTGCTCCCCGGGGGATTGGGCCTAAGATGGCAATCAGACATCCCGCTGGCAGCCCTCGGGGGATGTCCACTTGCCAGCTGTTAGCAGACCTAAGCTGCAGTCGGACATCCTTAGCGCTGCTGAGGAGGCAGGAGAGGCTCCCACCACCACCACTGTACTGGCAGCCATCAGCCTGGCTTGTGGCTGAGCAGAGCTCCTCCATGTGGGAGCACACTGACCACCAGAGGGTAGATCCTGCATTGAGCATCTGCCCCCTGGTGGTCAGTGTGTGTCATAGTGACCAGTCATTCCCAGTCTTTCTGCTGTTAGGGTCAGTTTGCATATTATCCTTTTACTATATAGGATAGAGGCCTGGTGCACAGGTGGGGGCCAGCTGGTTTGCCCTGAATGGTGTCTCGGATCAGGTTGGGGGTCCCGCTTGGCCAGCTGGGTGAGGGGCTGATGGCTGTTTTCAGGCTGCCCATACCCCCTTCAAGGTGGGGGTCCCCACTGGGGTGCCTGACCAGCCTGGATGAGGGGCTGAGGGCTGTTTTCAGGTGGACCAAGCCTGCAACTGAAGCTCCCAGTCCCTCCTTTTTTTCTTTTCTCTCTTTTTTTTTTTATTCTGGGATTTATTTACCTTCTGTAATTGAAACTTTGTTGCGGCTCCAGCTCCAAGGCCGGCTGGCTGAAAGCAGGTATCTAGGGTTTTTTTAGCTTCTATAATTGCAACATTGTTGCTTAGACTGGAGCTCAGAGCCCGGCTGCGGCAGGCGGGGAACCTTGGCTTCCTACATCACTGGAGCAAGCAAGCCTCATATTCACTTCAGCTGCCTGGCTGCCGGCCGCCATCTTGGTTGGCAGTTAATTTGCATATCACCCTGATTAGCCAATGGGAAGCATAGCAGAGGTATGGTTAATTACCATGTTTGTCTATTATTAGATAGGATTATTTGAGTACAGAAGATAGGTATTAAGTTTTTAATCAATATCAGTTTTGGTAAGTTTAAAAATCAGAAGTATATGTCCTTCCACTAATGCAAAAGCTTTTGTTAGGTCTATCAACATTTGAAAAAGTGGATGCCTTTAGTTGAGTTATTTTGTAGGACTAAAAATTATAACAATACATAGAATATGGAAAGAATTGACCTTCGGAAGTGTGAGATATCCAATGGTTTTTGAGGATGTCCTATAGTTTTCAGTTTTAAATATTTTTTTCCACATTCTCCAACAGATTCTTGTGCCAGAAAGTCAAATCTCACCTGTTGCAGAAGAACTCATTAGTTTGAAAGAAAATCCTAACTCCCAAAAGAAATTTCCTAAACCTCCAGAATACATCAAAAATAGTACTCAAGGGGACAGAAAAAACAGTCAATCTGAGGTAAATATGGTGTCAAAATAGTTATTTATAAAAAATATATAGATAGATCAAATTATTGTTATATATAATTACAGAGAAAAGCATCTGTAACATTTCAAAGTACTTTCCCTGCCTTTTACAAATAGAAACAAAAGGTAGTGTTTTAGCAAATTGTGTTCATGTGTAAGGTTAGAATAAGGTGCACTCTATACTTGGAAATTCCAAGTTAGAGATATAACCTTTCTGTCCTCTGTTTTCCCCTCTTCCTGTGCCATTGGGGATCTTCTCTAGGTCATGTCCTATAGCACCATTTCTCAGCCTCAGCCTTCTTCGTCATAGCTTCCTGGGACACTGAACATTGCTAACAGCCCTCTCTTCCTTAATGTCCTCCTATTGTTTGACGTCTATGTTAGTATTTTAATTCTCTACCTCCTTCTATTACTGTATCAGAGATACTGTCTCTCCCTACCTCCAGAAAGTAGATTTGCTCTCAAAGCTTCATACCCAAAATCTCTATGCCTTCTCCTTTAGCCAGCTTCCTTCCTGTGCATTAATTTAAGCTCTTAAAGTTCTGTAGCTACATCTCCACTTATTGTTTTAATATTTCCTTCTCTGTGTCTCCTCAAGCCCTTTTCTGAAGCCTAACAGGTATGTCTTTATCTTTCACCTCAAATTTGTATCTGCCTTCATACTTCCATAATGCACCATTGACAGTATCCTTGATTCCAGCCTCTTCTCCCCCTTACTACAACCACGGTGTTAGTGATTGTGTTTCCTGTATCTCCCTACTCTCCTCCTTGTTCCCTTTCATTGCTCACTTTAACTGACCTTAGTTAACATAGTAACCTCTTAATTGATCTTATTTGAACATTGTTTTTCCTCTGACTACCTTATATGGTAAACACTGGTTTTTCTTAATATTAGCACTTTTCTGCTCAGAAAACTTTGTGATCCGTGTTGATCTCACTCAGTCTAACCTTTGACTCTGTTCTGAGACTACAATTTTACTATATCAAAATGCCCTTCACTTTGAGAAGGTCAGTTGCTTTACTCTCTTTTATGTCATGGTCATTCTTGCCTCGATACTTTTACTTAAATTGTTTGTTCCTATTTTACCTTTACTCATCTAAGGTGTACATACATTTGCAAATCTTGGTTCATTTTTCTTCTTCCTGGAGTTTTTTTTCTGATTATTTCAGTGTTTACTAATCTCTTACCTTTAAGCAACTATAAATCACACAGGCTTTTCCATACATTTAATCATGTTTGTTATGATTTTTCCCTTTAATCTTGTGTCTGTCATTAAATTTAAAATGTCATAATTTCCTTAGATGATTATATCATAAAAGGCATTTTTGTGTCTTTATATCAGAATCATAACTTGAGTACTTATTAAAATGCAGATTCTTGGACTCTTCCCTCCACCCCTTATAACTACTAAATCATAAACCTCTGGGAAAGATCTTAAGCACAGTAAAGTTTTAAAATATTGCAGTATTGTGAAATAGCCACTATGTTTTCAGTAATTTCAAAAGATATTGTGTGTTTACTGTGGTTGTTTCTCATGGTTTAAGATAATTAACTCCTAGCACAGCGGTTCTCAACCTGTGGGTCGTGACCCCTTTGGGGGTCGAATGGCCCTTTCACAGGGGTTGCCTAAGACATTGGAAAACACATATATAATTACATATTGTTTTTGTGATAAATCACTATGCTTTAATTATGTTCAATTTGTAACAATGAAATTGGGGGTCACCACAACATGAGGAACTGTATTAAAGGGTTGCGGCATTAGGAAGGTTGAGAACCACTGTCCTAGCAAAAGAAAAATGTCTGATGCCTCAATAAGGAGTCACTGAAGCATTTATATGATTGAATAAACAGTGTCAAGTCCCATTTGCTATACCACTAGGAACTGACTTTTTTTTTTTTTTTAAGGAGAAGCAACTGGTTTCGTAGTTTGTTTCCAGCTTAATGTTAGAATGCACTTTTCTCCTGTGCTCTTCCACCTTTCTTCCATGCACCATATGCAGACCTACACCAGACTCCATCAGTATTTTTTTCTCTTAGGGGCAGGTGCATTTTTTAAATAGCTCTCCTCCTCCTCTATACTTGGTTACCATCTACTCCGTTATATGGTACCCTCTAACATTCCTGTCCCATGGTATCCCTGCCTCTGCTTATCTACTTCTGTGGCTCTTACCAGTCATTCCAGGGTGAAGTTAAAAATGCAGCTCATAGCTTGTGTGTCATTGAGTTTCTGAATTCCTGTAGCTACTTTTTACTCCAAAAGCAGTTTACTAGTAGTCTTCACAAAATATTAAAACAAATTTTTAAATGTGAGAAAGTTTTAGACAATGATTAACATTATGAATGTATTCACAAACAAGTTTACATCAATATGTCTAAACATCCTCTACATGAAATACAGTAGGAAACTATGAGCCATTGGTTAACTAGATAAACTCAGTAGCAATAAAAAAATTTTTTTACATGTCTAGATGTTCTATAAATATTCTTTAAAAACAACATTTCTTTCTTGTTTTGGCTACCTGTTCAATACCAAATATTAGGATTAAATTTTTAATGAAAGCCTAAAACAGAAATTTTTGGGCATCATCCTATATAATAAAAAGCTAATATGCAAATTGACCGGACAGCAGAATGACTGGTCACTATGATGCGCACTGACCACCAGGAGATAGATGCTCAATGCAGGAGCTGCTCCCTGGTGGTCAGTGCGCTCCCACAGGGGGAGCGCTGCTCAGCCAGAAGCCCTGAGCCAGACTTACGGCTAGTGAGCACAGCAGCGGTGGTAGGAGCCTCTCCCACCTCCACGGAAGTACTAAGGATGTCCAACTGATGGCTTAGGCCCGCTCCCCCATGGGCTCCCAGACTGTGAGAGGGCACAGGCCAGACTGAGGGACCCCCTGAGTGCACAAATTTTGTGCACTGGGCCTCTAGTGTTGTTTATAAAATGCCACATATCTTTTGTGTATAGTTAAGGTAAATTGTTATGAAGAATATTGTAGAATATTTAATTTCAAAAGATATTGTGTATTTACTCTGTTTCTCATGGTTTAAGATATTTACTCCTGGCAAAAGAAAAATGTCTGAAGCCTCAATTCTTGTTACTGGTGCAGAAATATACAACAAGAGAAGTCCATTACATTTAACCAACACATGTGAGTTTTCCCGTCTTAAAAGATTTCTAACAACTGTTAATATATTTTAAATCAGGCCTTTTTAAATTCAGGGATATTCTGGACATAATTTACCTGCGCGATAAGTTGGGGATATAAACATTGAAAACTATGAACCACTAATATCTTGTAATTGTCAAGAAATTTCAAATGACTAAGAAAGGTTTAATGGGGATTGACATATAAATATTATTCAAAATATTAATATCCAGCATAATAATTTAATATCACAAGTGGCAGCAGAATGACATAGTGGATAAAACATTGAATTAGGCCACATTGGGTTGTTTCCCCACTCCCAACTATGTACATGGTACAGATTATCCTCTAGCTAAGCTTAGAACCAGTTTCTTTTCTATAAAAGTTGTATAGAGGTTTAAGCAAAAATCATTCATTCACATGACAAGGAATATTGTGAAACATTTGGACAGTACCTGTTACATACTAAGAGCTAAATAAAAATAAATAACCTGATACTATATACAAATTGCTATAAATACCATCTTATTTCATTTTTATGACAATTTTTTTTAATCTTTATGATAATTTAATAGTGACTTTCTGTTTCCAGAATCAAATTGCCTACTGGGCTGCTGTCTAATGTCCAATAGGCTCCTCAGATTTAACAGGTCCAAGATAAATTCATCTTTCCACCACCACCACCCGCCAATTTTTTCTCCATATCTTACCTTGGTAAATGGTATCCACTTACTCATCTAAACCAGAAACCTGGGACCCATCCTAGAACCTTCCTTTTTTACCTTCCTCATCTAAATAGTACCTCAATAATAGCAATATGTAATGTTAAAAACCCACAAATATACCAGTCCTTCATTCTCCTTTTTAGCAACATCACGAAGAGGAAAAATTAAACCACCGCTGCAAGTGAGGAGTTCTGCAGAGAAACCTGGTGTTTCTGAAACTGGAGTGGATAATGCTGTATCACGTCAGTCTAAATCACCTGCAGAAAGAAGTAGAGGAGATGAGACACACAAAGTAACTTTACTTTGAAAGAATTTTTACATAAGTTATTTATCAAGTTATTGTAGAAATACATATAGAGCTAAGTTTTTACAAGCAGTGAGTGTCTTTGTTTAAGGCATTGCTTTCTTAAAAGTTATCATTTATTGTCCTTGAAAGTAAGGTCATTCTCACATACAACTCATTTACTGTGCTGACAATAGACTTTAGTAATATCCATTCAGTATAACTCTGATTTACCTACCCATTTGGTGGGAGAATGGACTCATCATCATTCTTTTAGTTATACAAATTAGTGTGTGCTATGGGGATGTTCTAGTATAAAAATATAAAATACAAGTGGACTCTGTCCTTAAGTATCTCCAACTCTAGCATGGGAATTAGATAAATTAATAAGATCATTCTACTATTGTATAAATCTTCTCACATCTACTTATAGCAGTGATGGCGAGCCTTTTGAGCTCGGTGTGTCAGCATTTTGAAAAACCCTAATTTAACTCTGGTGCCATGTCACATATAGAAATTTTTTTATATTTGCAACCACAGTAAAACAAAGACTTATATTTTTGATATTTATTTTATATATTTAAATGCCATTTAACAAAGAAAAATCAACCAAAAAAATGAGTTCGCCTGTCACCTCTGACATGCGTGTCATAGGTTCGCCATCACTGACCTATAGGGTTCAGTAGGAACCTATTGGGAGGCTAATGTCTAACCCCAGAGCTGGAGAGGGAAGGAAAAATCAAGAGAGGCTCTCTAAGGCAGTGGTTCTCAACCTTCCTAATGCCGCGACCCTTTAATACAGTTCTTCATGTTGTGGTGACCCCCAACCATAAAATTATTTTCGTTGCTACTTCATAATTAATTTTGCTACTGTTATGAATCGTAATGTAAATATCTGATATGCAGGATGTATTTTCATTATTACAAATTGAACATAATTAAAGCATAGTGATTAATCACAAAAACAACATGTAATTATATATGTGTTTTCCGATGGTCTTAGGCGACCCCTGTGAAAGGGCTTTTGACCCCCAAAGGGGTCGCGACCCACAGGTTGAGAACCGCTGCTCTAAGGAGATGGAAAATGAGTTGGTTTTTGAAGGATAAATAAAGGTTATTCAAATGGACATTGAGAAGAAGGGTATTCATTCCTGCTCTGAGGAAACAGAGCAGGGAATGGATAAGAGAAAGTTGTTTCTTGGAGAAATAGGAGGTAATCAGAGATATAGATAACTTTGTAGGTGAAGAACACCTACTAGCTAGCTTTTCTTTCCTCTGAAGTGTGAGGATGGTGGATTTTTCTTGGGGATACATTGATGTAGAGTGTTCAAGGAAAATTAAAGATTTGGAATAGCTACTGAGAGATAATGGAGAAAGCTAAGAATGAGTATCGTGGTAGGCAATGTGGAGACCCAGTTTAAATTAGAGACTATGAATTAACGTGTAATATTCTTCCAGAGTTTAGTATTCTTGATGTTAGATTGAAAAAGAATATAATAAAAGAAGATTGCAAATAGATAAAGAAAAAGAATAGATGGTGATTTTTAAAAAAATTAAATGGTTATATGGCATAAAGATAAAGGGTGCAAGAGTTCAAGATATTAGAAAAAGTAATCAAAGTGATGGTTCAAATTGTCTCGCTAAGTGCTTCTTACTAGGGACACTATTCAGTTCTGTGGTGTGGTACTGAATGTTGTAGGATGATAAGCATGCTAGGCCTGTGCTGGCTTATTGTCAGGGGAACCCTTCTTTCTTTATGATAACCAAAACCACACCTACACATTTTCATACTGCTCCTCTCCCAGGGTAGTGGACCACTGGCTAGAGTAAGTAGGAAGAAAGCCAGGATGGCCCTGGCTGGTTTGGCTCAATGGATAGAGCGTCAGCCTGCGGACTGCAGGGTCCCAGGTTCGATTCCGGTCAAGGGCATGTACCTTGGTTGCAGGCACATCCCCAGTGGGGAGTGTGCAGGAGGCAGCTGCTCAATGTTTCTCTCATCGATGTTCCTAACTCTCTGTCCCTTTCCCCTCCTCTCTGTAAAAAATCAATAAAATATATTAAAAAAAAAAAAAGAAAGCAGGATGAAGCAAAATATCTTAGCCTAGATTGCAGTGATGGCGAACCTATGACACACCTGTCAGAGGTGACACGTGAACTCATTTTTTTGGTTGATTTTTTTTTTGTTAAATGGCATTTAAATATATAAAATAAATATCAAAAATATGAGTCTTTGTTTTACTATGGTTGCAAATATAAAAAAAAATTTCTATATGTGACATGGCACCAGAGTTAAGTTAGGGTTTTTCAAAATGCTGACACACTGAGCTCAAAAGGTTCGCCATCACTGGTCTACAGGGTATATTCTTCTGACACTGATGTCAGATTTTTATTTGATCTGGGTAAGTGTGTATCTGTGGCTGTGGAAAAAGGGAAGCTTGCTGTAGTTAAGAAGTTGACTGTGCAATGGCCATAAAGTTACAAAACATTTAATGTTCCATGATTTCCAACTCCTTTATGTATATTAATGAAAAGACAGAATAGATGCAGGTTATGAGATCAAAACAATAGGAAATGTGCCATGGAGGTTCTAGAAATTGTCAGTTCCAGATGAAGATTGAATTGTTTTACTGGCTATGAAGTGATCAGAAAATTTATAGGATCTTGTGCTTCCTTATCTGCAGTGAAAATTATTTTCTTGTATTTTAGGGACAAGTAAAGATTTGGAATAGCTACTGAGAGATAATGGAGAAGACTAAGAATGAGTATCAGTGTTAGGCAATTTGGAGACCCAGTTTAAATTAACTGATATTCTAAAATGGGCATAACCTTAATAAAATACAGTTGACACTTGAACAACATGACCTTGAGCTGCATGGTTCACTTATACATGGATTTTTTTCAATAAATACTGTAAATATATGTATTTTATCAAGATTTTCTTAACATTTTATTTTCTCGGGCTTTATTATAAGAATACAATATATATACATATAACATACAAAATATGTATTAGTCAACTATTTGTTATCAGTAAGGAACCCAGACAATTCACTATTAGTAGTTAAGTTTGGGGGAATCAAGAGTTCTATGCAAATTTGACAGTGAGGGGTCAGTATCCCTAACCCCCAACTTGGTTTTTTTTTTAATTGTTTTATTGCTTAAAGTATTACAAAGAGTATTACATATGTCTCCTTTTGTTCCCACCCTTGACAATCCCCCGGCCTCCCCTACCCCCAGTATCTTATGTCCATTGATTATGCTTATATGCATGCATACAAGTCCTTTGGTTGATCTCTTACCGCCCCCCTCCTGCCCTCAACCCTCCGCGGCCTTCCCGCTGTAGTTTGACAGTCTGTTTGAGGCTGCTCTGCCTCTGTATCTATTTTTGTTCATAAGTTTATAATGGTCTTTATTATCCATAAATGAGTGAGATCATGTGGTATTTTTCCTTAATTGACTGCCTTATTTCACTTAGCATAATGCTCTCCAGGTCCATCCATGCTGTTGCAAATGGTAAGAATTCCTTCTTTTTTACAGCAGCATAGTATTCCACCATGTAGATGTACCACAGTTTTCTAATCCATTCATCTACTAATGGGCACTTAGGCTGTTTACAGATCTTAGCTATGGTGAATTGTGCTGCTATGAACATAGGGGTGCATATATCCTTTCTGATTGGTATTTCTGGTTTCTTGGGATATATTCCTAGAAGTGGGATCATGGGGTCAAATGGGAGTTCCATTTTTAGTTTTTTGAGGAAACTCCATACTGTCTTCCATAGTGGCTTCACCAGTCTGAATTCACACCAGCAGTGAAGAAGGGTTCCTTTTTCTCCACATCCTCTCCAGCACTTGTTGTTTGTTGATTTGTTGATGATAGCCAGTCTGACAGGTGTGAGATGGTACCTCATGGTTGTTTTGATTTGCATTTCTCGGATGATTAGTGACTTTGAGCATGTTTTCATATGCCTCTTGGCTTTCTGAATGTCCTCTTACGAAAAGCGTCTATTTAGGTCCTTTGCCCATTTTTTGATTGGATTGTTTATCTTCCTTTTATTAAGTTGTATGAGTTTCCTATAAATGTTGGAGATTAAACCCTTATCAGTGATAACATTGGCAAATATGTTCTCCCATGCAGTGGGCTTTCTTGTTGTTTTGTTGATGGTTTCTTTTGCTATGCAGAAGCTTTTTATTTTGATGTAGTCCCATTTGTTTATTTTCTCTTTAGTTTCCAATGCCCTAGGAGCTGAATCGGTGAAGAAATTGCTTCAGCATATGTGTGAGATTTTGTTGCCTTTGAATTCTTCTAGTATTTTTATGGTTTCCCATCGTACATTTAAGTCCTTTATCCATTTTGAGTTTATTTTTGTGTATGGTGTAAGTTGGTGGTCTAGTTTCATTTTTTTGCATGTATCTGTCCAATTTTCCCAACACCATTTATTGAAGAGATTATCTTGACTCCATTTTATGTTCTTGCCTCCTTTGTCAAATATTAATTAAGCATATTGGTCCGGGTCGATTTCTGGGCTCTCTATTCTATTCCATTGATCTATATGTCTGTTCTTGCCAGTACCAGGCAGTTTTGAGAACAGTGGCTTTGTAATACAGCTTGATATCTGGTATTGAGATCCCACCTACTTTATTCTTTCTCAGGATCGCTGCAGCTATTCGGGGTCTTTTTTTTATTCCAGATGAATTTTTGGAGAGTTCGTTCTAGGTCTGTGAAATATGCCGTTGGTATTTTAATGGGAAGTACGTTGAATTTATAGATTGCTTTGGGTAGTATGGACATTTTAATGATATTGATTCTACCAATCCAAGAACATGGTATGTTCTTCCATCTGTTTATGTCTTCCTCTATCTCTTTTTTCAACATCCTGTAGTTTTCTGAGTAGAGGTCTTTTACCTCTTTAGTTAAGTTTATTCCTAGATATCTTAATTTTTTTTGGTGTGATGGTAAATGGGATTGTTTTTTTAGTCTCTCTTTCTGTAAGTTCACTATTGGTGTATAGACATGCCATAGATTTCTTGGCATTAATTTTGTATCCTGCTACATTGCCAAATTCATTTATTAAGTCTAATAGTTTTTTGAGGGAGTCTTTAGGGTTTTTTATGTATAATATCATGTCATCTGCAATTAAGGACAGTTTTACTTCTTCTTTTCCAATTTGGATGCCTTTTATTTCTTCTTCCTGTCTAATTGCAATGGCTAATACTTCCAGTACTATGTCGAACAGGAGTGGTGAGAGTGGGCATCCCTGTCTTGTTCCTCTTCTTAGGGGAAATGGTTTTAGTTTTTGTCCATTGAGTATGAGTATGGGTTTGTCATATATGGCTTTTATTATGTTGAGGTATGATCCTTCTATTCCCACCTTGCTGAGAGTTTTTATCAAAAATGGGTGTTGGATTTTGTCAAATGCTTTTTCTGCACCAATTGATATGACTATGTGGTTATTTTCTTTCAATTTGTTTATGTGATGTATCACGTTTATTGATTTGCGGATGTTGTACCATACTTGCATCCCTGGGATAAATCCTACTTGGTCATAGTGTATGATCTTTCTGATGTACTGCTGGATCCAATTTGCTAAGACTTTGTTGAGGATTTTGGCATCTATGTTCATGAGGGATATTGGCCTGTAATTCTCTTTCATTGTGTTGTCTTTACCTGGTTTTGGTATTAGGGTGATGCTGGCTTCATAGAATGAGCTTGGAAGTGTTCCTTCCTCTTGGATTTTCTGTAGTAGTCTGAGGAGGATAGGTTTTAGTTCTTCCTTGAATGTTTGGTAAAACTCCCCTGTGAAGCCGTCTGGTCTTGGGCTTTTGTTTGCTGGAAGCTTTATGATGACTGCTTCAATTTCTTCCATAGTTATTGGCCTGTTGAGATTTTTAGATTCTTCCTGATTGAGTTTTGGAATGTTTTATTTTTTAAGGAATATGTCCATTTCCTCCAGGTTGTCTAGTTTGTTGGAGTAGAGTTGTCCATAGTATTTTTTAACAATTATTTGTATTTCTGTGGGGTCTGTTGTTATTTCGCCTCTATCATTTCTGATTTTGTTTATTTGGGTCCTCTCTCTTTGCTTCTTGGTGAGTCTGGCTAGAGGTTCATCAATCTTGTTTATCCTTTCAAAGAACCAGCTCTTGGTTTCATTGATTTTATGTATTGTTTTTGTGGTTTCTATGTCATTTATTTCTGCTCTAATCTTTATTATCTCCTTCCTTCTGCTCACTCTGGGCTTTTCTTGTTGCTCTCTTTCTAATTCTTTGAGATGTAAAGTTAGATGATTTACTACCATTTTTTCTTGTTTTTTGAGATAGGCCTGTAGAGCTATAAATTTCCCTCTCAGGACTGCTTTCATTGTGTCCCATAGGTTTTGGATTGTTGTGTTTTCATTGTCATTAGTTTCCAGGATGTTTTTAATTTCTTCTTTGATCTTATTGGTAATCCAATCAATATTTAATAACATACTATTCAGCTTCCAAGTGTTTGAGTATTTTGGGTTGTTTCTATTGTAGTTTATTTCTAATATTATGCCATTGTGATCTGAGAAGATACTTGGTATTATTTCAATCTTCTTGAATTTAGGGAGACTTTGTTTGTGACCCAATATGTGGTCTATTTTTGAAAATGTCCCATGAGAACCTGAGAAGAACGTATATTCCATGGCTTTGGGGTAAAATGTTCTGAAGATGTCAATTAAGTCCATCTGATCTACTGAGTCATTTAGGATTGCTGTTTCTTTGCTGATTTTTTGTCTAGAGGATTTATCCAGTGATGTCAGTGGTGTATTAAAGTGGTGTCAATCTCTCCCTTGATATCTTCCAGGAGTTTTTTTATGTATTTGGGTGCTCCTGCATTGGGTGCATATATGTTTATCAGGGTTATATCCTCTTGTTGTATTGATCCCTTTAGTATTATGAAGTGGCCTTCCTTATCTCTTGTTATGGCCTTCACTTTGAGGTCTATTTTGTCCAATATAAGTATTGCTACCCCAGCTTTTTTTTCCATTTCTATTTCCTGAATGATATTTTTCCATCCCTTCACTTTCAGTCTGTGTGAGTCCCTTATTCTGAGGTGGGTCTCTTGTAGACAGCAAACATATGGGTCATGTTTTTTTATCCATTCAGCCACTTGATGTCTTTTGATTGGAGCATTTAGTCCATTTACATTTAAAGTTATTATTGAAAGGTACTTGTTTGTAGCCATTTCTATTTTTTGTGCCTGTTTTCTTTCTGAGATTTTTATTTCTTCTTTTTACACCAGACCCTTTAGCATTTCTTGCATTGCTGGCTTGGTGGTGATAAACTCCCTTAGCCTTTTTTTTTGTCTGTGAAGCTTCTTATTTCCCCTTCAATTTTAAATGATAGCCTTGCTGGATAGAGTATTCTTGGATTCAGTCCTTTGCTTTGCATCACTTTGTAAATTTCCGTCCATTCTTTTCTGGCCTGATGTGTTTCTGTTGAGAAATCATTTGATAATCTAATGGGAGATCCCTTGTATGTAACTTTCCGTCTCTCTCTTGCAGCCTGTAAGATTCTCTCTTTGTCCTGAAAATTTGCCATGGTAATTATGATGTGTCTTGGTGTGGGTCTTTTTGGGTTCACCTTGTTTGGGACTCTCTGTGCTTGTGTGACTTTTTTCTTCCCCACCTCAGGGAAGTTTTCTGATATTATTTCTTCAAATAGGTTTTCTAACCCTTGTTCCTCTTTCTTTTGTTCTGGCACCCCTATTATTTGTATGTTGTTTCGTTTCATGTTGTCCCATAGCTCCCTTAGGCTCTCCTCCTGTCTTTTAATTTTTTTCTCTAATTGCAGTTCAGTTTGGGTGTGTTTTGCTTCCCTGTCTTCTGATTCGCTAATTCGGTCCTCCGCTTCTCCTAGTCTGCTCTTGAAACTTTCAGTTGTGTTTTTTATTGCAGCTATATCACTCTTCATTTCTTCTTGGTTCTTACATAAGTTATTGATATTTTCATCCATTTATTTTTTATTCTTACATAAGTTGTTGATTTTTTCATCTGTTTCTTCTTGATTCTTGCATAAGTTGCTGATTTTTTCCTCCATCCAGTTTATGCATTCTAGGACCCTTAATCTAAATTATTTTTCTGTCATGCTGCATGCCTCTGTTTCACTTAGATGCTTTTCTGGCGAGTCCTCCTTTTCTTTCCTTTGGGGGTTTCTTTGTCTACCCATGTTTGATCTCAATGACATATCTAGCTGTTGAATCATTCAGGGGCTGCTCCTCGGGCTGTGGTTGCTCCTCGGGTGGTTGTGGTAGGAGCTGCTCCTCATTTGGCAGCAGCTCCTTTGGTGGGTGCTGTTCACAGCTGTGGTGGCTCCTCTGGCTGGTGGGGTGAGTCTTCACACACAGCTGCTGTTCCTCAGACAGAGGGTGTGCTGATCACGAGGCTGCTGTTCCTTGGATGGGGGCGGGCTACACACACAGTTGCTACTCCTTGAACTGGGGTGGACTGCTCATGTGGCTAGTGTTCCTTGAATGGGGGCTGGATGCACGCTGCTGTTGTTCCTCTGATGTGGTGGGCTGCTTGTGGGGCTACTGCTCCTTGGACTTGGACAGGTTGATTGCAAGTCTGCTGCTCCTCGGATGGGGGTGGGCTGCTTGCGAGGCTGCTGCTCTTTGGACAGGAGTGAGCTGCACGCGTGGCTGCTCCTCCTTGGACGGGGACGTGCCACTCACCTGGCTGCTGCTCGTCGGACAGGTGCAGGCTGTTGTGGTTCTGCTCCTTGGACCGGTGCGTGCTGCGCAGGGCTGCCGCTCTTTGGACGTGGGCGGTCTGCTCGTGTGGCTGCTGCTCCTCGGACCGGGGTTGGCTGCTGCTGCTCCTCAAATGGAGATGGGCCGCTCACAGAACTGCTGCTCCTTGGATGGGGGCGGGATGCCCACACAGCTGCTGTTCCTCAGATTGGGCAGGCTGCTCGTGTGGCTGCTGCTGCTTGGACGAGGACAAGATGCTTGCACAGCTACTGCTCCTAGGACTAGTGCAGGGTGTGGGCTGTGCGCAGCTGCTGCTCCTCGGATGTGGGCAGGGTGTGCAGGGCTGCCGTTCCTCAGATGTAGGTAGACTGCTCATGTAGCTGCTGCTCCTCGGACAGGTTGGACTGCTCGCATGGTTGCTGCTCCTCAGACAGGGAAGCGGGCCGCTCACACAGCTGCTCCTTGGACAGGGGCAGGCCACATGAAGCTGCTGCTCTTAGGCCTGAGGCAGGCTGCTCATGGGGCTGATGCTCCCTGGACAAGAGTGCACCGCTCATGTGTCTGCTGTTCACGTGGTTGAAAAAATAATGTGAAAAAAGGTAGGATATAAAGGAACAAACAAAAAAAAAGAACAAAGAGAAAAGCAAAAAAGGAGAGCAAAAAACAAAAAAAAAAGGGAAAACAAAAAAGCCACAAAAAAAAGCTAACACAATAATAACTAAAAAATAAAAATGAAAAATTGAAATGTCATTCCTTTGGCTGGCTTAAGATCCCAGTTTTCTGGAATGTCTGTGATTTTTTTTTCTGTTTTTTTTTTTTAATATATTTTATTGATTTTTTACAAAGAGGAAGGGAGCGGGATAGAGAGAATCATCGATGAGAGAGAGACATCAATCAGCTGCCTCCTGCACACCCCCTACTGGGGATGTGTTCACAACCAAGGTACATGCCTTTGACTGGAATCAAACCTGGGACCGTTCAATCTGCAGGCTGATGCTCTATCCACTAAGCCAAACCTGTCAGGGCACCCCCAATTTGTTTTCAGGTCAACTGTAAATAGAAATACTATCCAGCTTTTAATAGCAAAGCAAATTTATTTTTAAAGTTTTAATCTTTAATATTCTGATTTTTAAAAGTTGTTTTCCTACAATACCTTAATTCACATTTACATTAACATGTCTCCTGTGTTTATAGCATATCAAAACTGCTGATGTTGCAGAAAAGACAGAAAATAAGAACATTGAATTCCGAAACCAAAATTTTAGTAAGTGCTTTTTGATTTAATCTTCTTTATAAATTTCCTTTTTGCCACACTGGCTTTCTTTGATTTGAAAAAGAAAGATTTATAATAAATGTATTCAACTTTATGCAAGGAACGTAGAGGTTACAAGGAAATATAATATACTCTCTATTCCCAAGAAGTTTGGGTTTGAGAAGGGGAAACCTTGATCAATCAATCTCTCCATCCCAATATGTAAACCTTGATCAAAATCTATACCAATTTTACCCTGTCAACTGCATGAAAAATGAAAATACCATAATTTTTGTTTTATTTAGATGAATCCCAGTATAGTGTTCATGGTTCTCAAGCAGTGGGGAAAATAGAGAAATCTGTGTAAGTATGAGAAAGCCTATCAATTTTTTAAGCATGTATATTTACTTTTTGATGAATGTGACAAATTTAAAGGAAAAGGCTTTATAGTCTTACTAGAGGCCCGATGCATGAAATTCGTGTGTGGGGGGTGGTGGTCCCTCAGTCCAGCCTGTGCCCTCTCGCAATCCAGGACCCCTCACTCCTAACTGCCCACCTGCTTGCTCTTTACCGCTTGGCTCGCCATTCCTTAGCGCTGCCTTGGAGGAAGGAGAGGCTCCTCCATTGAGTGTCTGCCCCCTGATGTGCACATCATAGCGACCGTTCATTCTGGTCGTTCTGCCATATGGTCGCTGGGCTTTTATTATATAGACTAGAGGCCCAGTGCACAAAAATTTGTGCACTGGCGGGGCGGGTGTCCCTCAGCCCCACTTGTGCCCTCTCACAGTCTGGGACCCCTCGGGAGATAACAACCTGCTGGCTTAGGCCTGCTCCTGGGTGGCAGATGGCAGGCCCAATCCCTAGGTGAGCCCCTGGTCGGGCTCAGAGCAGGGTCGATGGGGAGGTTGCGGCACCACCCCCTGTCATGCACAGAGCAGGGCTGATCAGGGGGTTGGGGAGCTGCCCCCTGTCACACACAGAGCAGGGCCCATCAGGGGGGTTGGGGCTCCGTACCCTGTCACACACAGAGCAGGGCCGATCAGGGGGTTGGGGAGCTCCCCCCCGTCATGCACAGAGTAGGGCTGATAGGGGAGTTGGGGCACCACCCCCTGTAACAGAGCAGGGTAGATCAGAGGGTTGGGGCGCCGCACCCTGTCGCACACAGAGCAGGGCCAATCAGGGGGTTGGGGAGCTCCCCACTATCAGGCACAGAGCAGGGCCAATCAGGGGGTTGGGGTGCCCTCCCCTGTCACGAACAGAGCAGGGCGGATAGGTAGGTTGTGGCCCCGCCCCCTGTGACACACAGAGCCGCTGGGCGATCAAGGGGTTTGGGTGCTGCCCCCTTCACACTGCCCCAGGGGCCAGGAAGCCTCGCAGCTCCACTGATCCTGGTGCGGGAGGCCTCGCAGCTCCGCTGATCCCAGGTTCGGGAGGCCTCGCAGCTCCGCTGATCCCGGTGCTGAGAGGCATATTACCCTTTTACTTACTATATAGGATAGAGGCTTGTTGCACGGGTGGGGGCTGGCTGGTTTGCCCTGAAGGGTGTCCCGGATCAGGGTGGGGGTCCCGCTTGGGTGCCTGGCCAGCCTGGATGAGGGGATGATGGCTGTTTGCAGCTGGTCACACCCCCTTCAGGGTAGGGGTCCCCTGGCCAGTCTGGGTGAGGGGCTGAGGGCCATTTTCAAGCTGGCAGGTGACTGAAGCTCCCAACCTCTCCTTTTTTTCTTTTTTCTTTTTTTCTGGGATTATTTACCTTCTATGGCTATCACTGGAACTGAGAGCCGGCTTTAGCTCTGAGGCTTGGCTCCAGCTTTGAGACCTCGGCTGCTGATCTGGGTTTGTTTGGGTTCTATAATTGAAACACTGTTTCAGCTCCAGCTCTGAGGCCGGCTGGCTGAAAGCAGGTTTCTGGGGATTGTTTAGCTTCTATAATTGCAACAATGTTTCTTAGAGTTGCAGCTCAGAGGCCGGCAGCAGCAGGCGGGGAACCTTGGCTTCCTCCATCACTGGAGCAAGCAAGCCTCCTGTTCGCTTCAGCTGCCTGGCTGCTGGCTGCCATCTTGGTTGGCAGTTAATTTGCATATCTCACTGTTTAGCCAATGGGAAGGGTAGCGAAGTTACGGTTAATTACCATGTTTCTCTATTATTAGATAGGATTGTTTATAGCATTAATCATCTCTCAAGTATTATGATAGCACAATGGGGAATAGTCTGTTTTGTCCATTTGTACCAACATAACTACTTTCAAATTGAGAGATTCAGATGAATGAGATTTTAAAAATAATAAAGTATGAATGTATACAAATGTAACCTACTTTAAATATACAATGGAACACGTAAGTTATGTGAGTTATATTTAGGTAGATATAAATATAGTAGCAATAATGGAACTTTTTAATCTCTAATTTGATTAATTATATGATAAATTTTAACTTCTATAATGACTTACTAAAACATTTTCATACTTGACTAGTAAAAATTGCTATCAATAAACATTGACTACATTTTAAAAAAACAAAGTCCTATGTCAGAATTATAGCTAATGTTTTATGATATATTAAGCAAATGAATTTATTTTCCAGGTTACCTGGTGTTTCATACAACATTCATGGAAATAAAATGTCTTCTAAATGGGCATGTTGGACGCCTGTAACAAATATTACGCTGTGTAGTAATGAAAGATCAAGTGCTTCACAAGGAGACACATTTATTCAAGGTGAAACATATACAGTTGATTCTAAAAAAAAAAATTTTATTGATTTCAGAGAGGAAGAGAGAGGGAGGGAGAGATAGAAACATCAATGATGAAAGAGAATCATTGAGCAGCTGCCTCCTGTCTGTCCCCCACTGGAGATCAAGTCTGAAATACAGGCATGTGCCCTGACTCTGACCCAGAATCAAACCGGTGACCTCATGGTTCATAGGTCATCACAACCACTGAGCCATACCAGTCCAGCTACAGTTGACTCTTAACACATTTCGTACCTCTCAGGAGTTTTCTCATGTTTTGTTAAGGACCTCTCATGAGTGTTCTCATTTTTCACGCCCATGGAAAAAGGAGCGAATCTAGATACTTATGTAAATTTTGTTTGGTCCTTCTTCATAGAGGAAAATGTTTTACGCAGTACCATACGTTAAAAAAGTACTAGGAACTTTAATTGTTTAATTGTTTTTGTAAATAAAAATGTTATAATTATTGAAAAACAACACCTAAAGTGCATTATGATGATTTAAATAACGTGCAGTTTGCCCAAAAATGTGTGGTCCCTGGCGTATGTCTTAGAGATTTCTATGCGGTATGCAATGTGTTAACAACACAGGTTTGAATTCCATGGGTCCATCCATTTATATGGAGATTTTTTTCAATAAATTTTGTAAATGTATTTTCTTTCTCATGATTTTCTTAATATTTTTTCCTCTAGTTTACTAGAGAAAAGAATCTATACTAATAAAAGGGTAATATGCTAATTAGACTAGACATCTTCTGGACGACTTCCAGACATCCTTCCAGAAAAGGCCACTGTGGCGGGGCCGAGGCAGAAGCCATTAGGGGTGATCAGGCTGGCAGGGGAGAGCAGTTAGGGAGATCAGGCTAGCAGGGGAGAGCAGTTACGGTGATCAGGCCGGAATGGAAGAGCAGTTAGGGGGATCAGGCCGGAATGGAAGAGCAGTTAGGGAGATCAGGCCAGCAGGGGAGAGCAGTTAGGGGGATCAGGCCAGCAGGGGAGAGCAGTTACTGTGATCAGGTCAGCATGGGGGGAGCAGTTAGAGGGATCAGGTCAGCAGGGAGATCAGTTAGGGCAATAAGGCAGGCAGGCAGAGGCGGTTAGGGATGATCTGGCAGGCAGGCAGAGGTGATTAGGGGCAATCAGGCAGGCAGGGGAGCAGTTATGGGAATCAGGCAGGCAGGCAGGCAGAGTGATTAGGGGTGATTAGGCAAGCAGGCAGGTGAGTGGTTAGATGCCAGCGGTCCCGGGTTGCGAGAGGGATGTCTGATGTCGGTTTAGGCCCAGTCCCGGGAATCAGGCCTAAACTGGCAGTCAGACATCCCCCAAGGAGTCCCAGATTCGAGAGAGTGCAAGCCAGGCTGAGGGACACCCTCCCCCCTGCACAAATTTCGTGCACTGGGCTTCTAGTATATAATACAAATTTCATATAAAATATATATTAATTGAATGTTATTATTAAGGCTTCTGGTTATTTAGTTTTGTGAGTCAAAAGTTATACGTAGATTTTTGGCTGTGTAGGGATTGATACCTCTAACCCTGTGTTGTTCAAGGGTCAACTATAGTTTTTTCTGTATATAATAGTAGTTCAGGGGAATATTCATTTCTTGAAATGTCTGACAAATATCTTTGGTTTTAATGAAGGTTATACATTATCAGTTTATTAATTTAACTAGAGGCCTGGTATATGAAATTAGTGCACAGGTAGGGTCCTTAGGCCTGGCCAGTGACCAGGGCCAATCTGTGGGGCCACCGGCGGGGTGATTGGGGCCCCCACTCACACCCACTTTGGCCTGGCGCTGCCCGCTTGCTGGCCTCACCACCGCCAGTTGCCTCTCTCTGTGGGGTGACTGGTGTTTATGGGATGACTAGCAGGACGATCAGTTGGCCCCCACTCACACCTGCCTTGGCTGGCCTGCCACCGCCTGCTTGCCAGCCCCCCCCCCCCCCCCCCCGCAAGCATCTGTCAGGGCCTGCGGGTTGGGGGCAGCTCCTGCAGTGAGCGGCTGCCTCCTGGTGGTCAGTGCATGTCATAGCAACCAGTCGTTCCACTGGTTGTTCTGCCATTGGGTCGATTTGCATATTAGGGTTTTATATAGATAGATAAGGATTAATTTCTTTTTTTCCCACTAGATATTTCTATCAACAAAAATTTTACTAAACAAAAATCATCCTCTTCAGTATCTGATGATAATTCTGAAGAAACAGGAAAGGTGGAATATAAGAAAGAAGTAACGCAGCATAACAAAATAGATAAAGGAGAAGTAGATGTTTGCAGAAGAACCAATCAACAACTAAATCAATGTTCAAAGCAGAAAAATATTGAAAATACCAAGCAGAGTGATTGGCATATTGAATCTGAAACTACTTTTAAATCAGTTCTCCTAAATAAAACAGTTGAAGAATCTCTCATCTATAGGAAGAAATACATATTGTCAAAAGATGTGAATACTGCTATTTGTGATAAAAGCCCCTCTCCTAGTAAAAATGCAAGGAGTCTTAGGAAATCAAGGAAAAGATTAACATCTGAACTTAATTCCTTGGATTTGAAACAAAAAAAAATGGTGAGCTTTCAGTGTGTTTTATTTCTGTTTACCCATAACATGCCTACTTAATAACATAAGAAAGAGAAAGAAGCTTGTTTGATTACTGTAAATTTAACATTTGTAAATACCTTGTTCTTTAATACAAACTCAAAGCAAGTGCATCTTGAATTCCTGCATCTCTCCCTAATCCTGGCTCTGACAAATCACATGCCTGTGGGTGCCATAGGAATTGCTTGAATGAACCCGGTTTTGGCGCCTTTTTGTGTGTCTGTGAGCCACATATGTAATTTTTCATTTTCTAGTTATATTACAATTTCTATAATACATTTGTAAAGTTTACAGGATAAATTCATTTTATTAATATATACTTTTACTTTTCAATTACAGTTGACATTTGATATTAATATTAGTTTCTGCCTTGTTTCCTCTTATTGGGTTTCCCACTCTGTCCCTTAGATTCTTTTGAACATGCATGTAGAACTGTGTGCCTTTGCCTCTCAAATGGTGCTTACCTTTCTTCTTAAATACATGGTTGTGTTTTGTGATTTTTTTCACTTTATAAGTGTAAAGACTTTCATTCAACATTTATACTTTGCACATAGTAGCATCTGAAGTATTTCTTGCATTATTGCATTAAAGTTTTACAAGGTTTTTCAAGAAAGGATGTAAGTGGGGTGGAAGATACTATCTTCTTCTATAATTGTTGCTCATCCCTATTGGCTGCCCCACTTTCTTCAGATGAATCATCTGTAGAACATCTCTAGGACAGTTTTAGGTATTTTGTACCATACTTTGAGACATATATCTGGGCTCTCTGTTTTCTTTCATTCTCTTTGTTTATTCTTTCACCAGTACTACACTATACTGATAACTCGATCATTATGCCTTAAAAGTAGAGTACTGTCAGTTCTCCAACTTTGTTCTTCTCCTTCAGCATTGTGTTGGCTATTCTGGATCTCTTGCTTCTCCATGTAAACTTGAGAATCATATTGTTGATAACCAAAAAATGACAGTCTGAGATTTTGATTGGGATTACATTGAATCTATAAATCAAATTGGAAAGAACTGACCTCTTGACAATATTGAGCCTTTCCATTTATTTTGATTTTTTTTTATTTTTCATCAGAGTCATTTAGTTTTCCTCACATGGATCTTGTGTATATGTTTGTCATATTTATTCTTTTTTTTTATTAAAATATATTTTATTGATTTTTTACAGAGAGAAAGGGAGAGAGATAGAGAGTTAGAAACATCGATGAGAGAGAAACATCGATCAGCTGCCTCCTGCACATCTCCCACTGGGGATATGCCCGCAACCCAGGTATATGCCCTTGACCGGAATCAAACCTGGGACCCTTCAGTCCACAGGCCGACACTCTATCCATTGAGCCAAACCGGTTTCGGCATGTCATATTTATTCTTGATTCCATTTTGGGGGGTGGTAATGTAAATGGAATATAATTTCATATTTCAATTGTTAGTTACTGATGTATAAGAAAGCGATTAGCTTTTATTATTACTTTTATATCCTTTCACCATTTCTATAATTGCTTTTTAGTTCCAGAAATATTTTTGTTGATTGATATTTTTCTACATAGACAAAAACAGTTTTATTTCTTCCTTCCCTATCTTTTTACTATGTATATCCTTTGCTTGTCTGTTGCCTTAGCTAGGACTTCCAGTATGATGTTGATAGGAGTGTGAGAGCAGACATCCTTTTCTTATTTCTGATCTTAGTGGAAAAACATCTAGTTTCTATTAAGTATGATGTTTGCTGTATTTTCTTTTTATAGCTGTACTTTATGAAGTAGAAGATGTTCCCTGTATTCCTGGTTTTCTAAGAGTTATGAATTGATATTGGATTTAGTCAAATGTTTTTTGTGCATCTATTGATGTGATCATGATTTTCTTCTTTAGCCTATTAATATTATGGATTACATTAATTAATTTTCAAAAGTTGAATCAGCCTTGCTTACCTGAAATAAATTCCACTTGGCTATGATAGACAATTCTTTTTATACATTTTTGGATTTGATTGCTAATATTTTATTCAGGATTTTTGCATCTGTGTTCATGAGCTGATAATCCTATCTAATAAAGAGGGAATATGCTAATTGACCTTCACACCATTGTAAAGATGGTGGCGCCCACAGCCAATAAGGAGGGAATATGCTAATTCACTGCCCCGCCCTCAAAGATGGAGGTGCCCACTCCCCTCAGCCCCACCGGGGTGGCAGGCGTGCGGCAAGGCTGGGCCCACCCCATGGGCCTGCCTCCAGAGCTCCTCCGTCCCCTCAGCCCCCCAGCCACCCAGGGCCGCCCAAGGCTCAGGTAACCAGGACCGGCCGAGGCTTGCGCTGCCGGCAGTGGCAGCAGCAGAAGTGTGATGGGGGCCTCGCCTTCCCCTGATCGCTGGGTCGCCTCCCACCCCTGAGGGGGCAGACTGGGCTGAGGGATACCCCCTCTGGTGCATGAATTTTCATGCACTGGGCCTCTAGAATCTTATAAAGTGAGTTAGGAAGTATTCCCTATGCTTCTGTCTCCTGGAAGATTGTAGAAAATTGTTATACTTCCTAAATGTTTTATAGAACTCACCAATAAACCCACCTGGGCCCGGTGCTTTCTTTTTTGGAAGGTATTAACTATTGATTTAATAGATACAGGCCTAGTCAGGTAATTCTTCTATGAGTTTTTATAGAATTTCAAGGAAATGGTCCGTTTAATCTAGGTTATCAAATTTGTGGGCATAGAGTTGTCTATAGTGTTTCTTTATTATCCTTTTAATGTCCATGTAATCAGTAGTGATAGCCTCTTTTGGTATTAGTAATATCTGTCTTTTACATCTTTCTTTCTTTTTTTCTTAACCTTACTAGAGGCTTGCCAACTTTATTGATCTTTACAAAGAACCAGCTTTTAGTTTCCTTTAGTTTTTTATATGAGTTTTTTTTCTATGGATAGAAACTTTTAAAAAGCAATATCTACAGAGCACTCTCCATAGTTCTTTCTATATGGGAAAGGACTGACCCTGGCTTGTTTTCATGCTCAACAAAGCCCAAGCTACCAAGTCACCTCTGGCTCCCTTTATTTCTCTTTGTGGCTATACTTAGAGCCAGATTTTTCTTAATTTTTTTCAGCCTTTATTTTCATTTGAAGGTTAACTTACAGAGTTTTTAAGTAACTTATGAATTGTTTCAGAGAGAAAAGTCAAAAGGGAAAATACTTGCTGATGCAGCAGAATCCTTGATAAGCCAAATTAATAAGAGATACAAACCAAATGATGCTATACGGTCTGCAAGAAAATTAAAGGAGTCTTTCATTAGCAGGTATGTTCCTAAGTTTTAGAAATGAATATCTTTCTGACAGATACAACTAAATTATTTTACACTGTTTTAAGGTTAGTTTTCAACAAGTTAAAGTAATGTAACTTTCTAGGAGAGAACACATAGTAACTTATTTACTTTTAAAAATAGTAGCTGTTTAAATTAGAACTAAATTTGAAATTAGACATTGTAGTATCTGATTACATTTTATAAAATATCAAAAATACCAAATTGATGCAGCATATCATTTTAGAAATCTTTAAGATATAGACATTATAGAAATTTTTCATTGAGTCTAGTGATGAGTAAAATGAAGTATATTTAAATATATTGCTTAAGTAAGAGATCAACAAAAGGACTTAATATGCATGCATATGAGCATAACCAATGGACACAGATGGGGAGGGGCGGTGAGGGCATGTGCTGGGGGTTGGGTTAGGCCGGGGAGAGGTCAATGGTGGAAAAAGATTTATGTAATACATTAAACAATAAAGAACTTAAATTAAAAATAAAAAAACAAAAATGAAATTTAAATAAGCTGAAATGATTTACTTTTATATAGTAAATATGTATTCCTTGTTTATAATCTTTCTGAAGGTTCTTTTCTTATTACAAAATGTATTTTTATAGGCTGCCAGTTGGTTAATTCACATTTAAATTCATTCCACTCTTATTGTAAGGAATGAAAATTATTATTTTCATGGCAGAACATTCAATTTAAATTGCTTGGCACCTCCTGCTACATAAATGATTCAGCTTAGAATTAAATATTATTGTTGCTATATACTGTGAGTGAAGGTGCAAAAATAGGGTACTAGTGCTATCACATCACAGTGATTTAGAAACATATGGATGTGGACTTAGTGACCCAAATATGTTCTACCTTATATAGAATGCCTTTTATGGAAAACATTCTACTGATATTTAATTGCTTTCTTAATTTTGACAAAACCTTTTTTATAGTGGTTTTTCAAACAAATATGATCTACAGCTCAGCAAGGTAGGTTTCATTTATTTAACTATATATCATAGCATCTGACTATATATATGAACATATCTATAATTGACTGTAAACACTAAAATAGAATAATGGTATGATGGAATTAGATTTAATGTTTTCAGCATATTGATAAAAGGATTAAACAACTAACATGTTTAGTGGCAAGTACTCAAAGAAGCCTTCTACTCTGCTTTTCAAAGAAAATGCTTCTTTTACATATATGAGCGTGATTTTTTAGTTTTTGGTTCATGATTTAGTATATCTTCTTTCTTAAGGCCACCTGCCAGTTTTCCATTGTTCTGTGGCCAGGTTTTGGTTTCCCACTATGAGTGGGTCATTTATAGCCTTGAGCTTGTGCAGGTATGACAAAGACAGAGGGACATTACAGTAGTTTCTGCAGGCCACTATAACAAACATAGCACTGTCTGGTGGAGTGGCTCAGTTGGTTGAGCATCATCCTGTGCACCAAAAGGTTACCGGTTCAATTCCTGATAAGGGCATATACCGGGGCTGTGGTTTGATCCCCAGTTGGGGTGCGTGAGGAAGGCAACCGATCAATGTTTATCTCTTTCTGTCTCCCTTCCTCTCTTTAAGTATGTCCTTCTGTGAGGATTTTAAAAAATACTATAGATTGGGTGGCTGAAACAACAAATATTTATTTCTCACAGTTCTGAAGGCTGGAAAGTTCAAGATCAAAACACTGGCAGATTTGGTATCTGCTGACTGCCATCTTCTTGCTGCATCCTCACATGGTAGAAGGACATGATTAGTATATCTTTGTCTCCATTTTTTTTCTAGCTAATCCTATCTGAAAGATTGAAGTTGGTGATACGTGGGCAGGCTAAATAGCTATCTCAGATGGTGAATAAAGAAAAATTGAATTTATTTCAGGAAAAGGGGATGGGGGATGGGGATAGCCAAAGGGAAGGACTACATAGCACTGAGTCAAAAGGGTATTGGTTCCATGATGGCAGCAAAAATATACCTAGGACAGTGAAACAAGGAAGTGCATTAGAGAAGCAACAGGAAAGCCTAGGCTGGGCTGCTTTGGCTCACTGAGAAGTCAGAGGGAAGGGGCCTTGGACACAGGTTCAGGGGATAAACCCTAGATGAGTTGCCTCTGCCCATTGCTCTCCTGGTTTCAAGTCTCATGGGATCCCTTGGGTTAGGGAATATGTTCCTGAGGGGGAAAGGAAGGGGAACGGGAATGGTAAGGGCATGCTCCTGGGAGGGAGAATACATGCTGGGTCATTTGTCTTGAGCCAATTTATCTCTCTCTCTTGCAGGTGGAAATCTTAGGGGAGGTCTCAGGGGGGTATCTCCATAGAATATTCATCAGTTTTCCAGCTGTGCTCTTTCTGGGTTGTGGTCTCCACTGATTGGTCGGTGCCAGGGCAGGGGATCATTAGTCAATGTAACCAGTCCAGGGGCAGCCATGGCAGCACCACTTGTCTTGTTTGCTGCTTTTCTGGACCTGGAGATGAAATATAACTGAGGCCTAGATGTTATCTTTAGGGAGGAAAAGGTCAGGGGTTCTAAACTGCATACCTGGTGATATGCTTAAGGGAGTATAGGTTACCCTGGGGACAAGGTTCTTGTTTTCCCAGTTTTGCCCCTTGCTAGGCATCCGGGCTTTCTGCCCTGGTGAGTTTCTGTACCTGGCCCATCATCCTTGCTCTACTCATGTCTGCCTAATACTATCTTCCCTCATAAGTAGGTCCTCCTTAAACCCTTATTTTTGTTAACAATGTTTATTATTCACCCAGGCTTAAAATATCAATTATCTTTTATTTCCTCACAATTACTTTCTCTCTCAACTTAATTTCAAGTTTTGAGGTTTACATTTTGTAATTTCCTCTTGAATCTTCCCTCTCCTGCCTATTCCAGCTGCTGTTTTTCTAGTTTGCATTCTAAATTTCTAATCCCTAGATTGCTACAATAGCCTTTATGTAAGTCTTAATGCCGCTAGTATTTCTTTGTGCCAATCCATTCAATACCAGCTACTTTCTTTCTAAATCGCACTTCACTCGTGTCATTCTCTTGTTCAGAACCTTTCTTGGATCCCTGTTGCTTATAGAAGTAAGCATGGAGACTTAGTCTGGCTCCCTAGTGCCTTTCAAAGTCAATCTTGTTTCTTAATATTAGTTTCCTAGAGAAACTAATAATCTGAAACATAACTTCAGATTCCCGAAGTGTTTATTCTCTTTTTCTTCGACCTTTGGAAAGAACTTGGAACTGACTCAGCAGGTTCCCACCTTCTTTTCTGATTGTCAAAACTTTATTCTTCTTTGTAAGACTTACTTTAGCAGTGGTTCTCAACCTTCCTAATGCCGCGACCCTTTAATACAGTTCCTCATGTTGTGGTGACCCCCAATTTCATTGTCACAAATTGAACATAATTAAAGCATAGTGATTTATCACAAAAACAATATGTAATTATATATGTGTTTTCCGATGGTCTTAGGCGACCCCTGTGAAAGGGTCATTCGACCCCCAAAGGGGTCGCGACCCACAGGTTGAGAACCGCTGCTTTAGAGTCTGCCTTCTTTACAAAAACTTTCCAAGATGTCCTGACTCAGAATCCATAATGCACAAGAATTCTGAATCTGCACAATTATTTTGGTACCTTTTGATGTCTTCTTCACTAGTGCAGATTTTTATATCACTTCTGTCTTTTAGCAGAGTGTAACTGTTTAATATCATCTTTGTATCCTGTATAACATCTTTGCTCATTTTTGTATCCTCTTTAATATCTTTTCTCATTTTTGTATCTTCTGTAATACCTAGCACACACTGGCATGCAAAAGATGAAATGAACAAGTGTAACTGAATAGTAGTAAAAATCATATTGGAAAGGGTAAGTCAGTTAAAGTAATAATATTCCCAAAAATATATACACACACTTTGAATAATTCTGAAGGCAGTGTTTATTAAAATACATTTCATTTTCAAAATTGAGCTATCAACTCTTAAAGTGTGCATACATTTTTGGGAGGACACCATATTAAGAGAAAAAAATTTTGGAATAATGCTCATCTATATAAAGCAGCTAAAAGAAATAATAAAATTGAAGATGAATTACAACTAAAATGAATATTTTCATTTTAATATTTCTAGCTTACTAAATATTATATTAGACGTCTGATTATTTCAGATTAGTAATCATTTAGTGACATTAATTATTTGTGTACCTAATAATCTACACTAATAAAAGACAAATATGCAAATTGACTGTACCTTCGCTACACCTTAAGGCACTCCCACCAGCCAATCAGAGTGACTATATGCAAATTAACCCAACCAAGATGGTGGCCAGCAGCCACAGAGCTGGAGCAAGCAGGAGGCTTCCCTCCTGCCTGCCCTAGCCAGCTCTGAGCTCCTCTCAAGGCTACAAAGTTTCAATTATAGAAGGTAAATAAACTTCAGAATTAAAAAAGAAAAAGAAAAAACGAAGAGGCTGGGAGCTTCCGTCACTGGGGGGCTTGGCCAGCCTGAAAACGGCCCTCAGCCCCTCACCCAGGCTGGCCAGGCATCCCAGTGGGGACCCCCACCCTGAAGGGGGTGTGAGCACCTGCAAACAGCCATCAGCCCCTCACCCAGGCTGGCCAGGCACCCCAGTAGGGACCCCCAACCCTGAAGGGGGTGTGACCAGCCTGCAAATACCCATTAGCCCCTCACCCAGGCTGGCCAAGCACCCCAGCGGGACCCCCACCCTGATCCAGGACAGTCTTCAGGGCAAACCAGCCAGCCCCCACCCATGCACCAGGCCTCTATCCTATATAATAAAAGGGTAATATGCAAACTGACCCTAACAGCAGAACGACTGGTAATGACTGGTCACTATGACACACACTGACCACCAGGGGGCAGACGCTCATGCAGGAGCTTCCCCCTGGTGGTCAGTGCACTCCCACAGGGGGAGCTCTGCTAAGCCACAAGCCAGGCTGACCGCTGCCAGTACAGCAGTGGTGGTGGGAGCCTCCCCGCCTCCTCAGCAGCACTAAGGATGTCTGACTGCAGCTTAGGCCTGATCCCCGCTGGCAAGTGGACATCCCCCGAGGGCTGCTGGGCTGCCAGAGGGATGTCTGACTGCCAGCTTGGGCCCAATCCCCCAGGGAGCGGGCCTAAGCCAGCAGGTGGACATCCTCCAAGGGGTCCCAGACTGCAAGAGGGCATAGGCCAGGCTGAGGGACCCCCCCGAGTGCACAAATTTTTGTGCACTGGGCCTCTAGTAGCTAAATATTTTAATAAAACAATTTTATTTTAAAAAAAATTTTATAGCAACGGTAGAAATTTATTAAAGTACAAGTACAGACTCCCACATAGGGAGGGGGAAGAGTCCCACTCACTTCCTGTTTCCATAGTTTATAAAGGCTGTAGTTCCTGTGTCCTAATATCCCCTCTGATTGGTCAATATTTCCTTTCAAATTGGTTGCTATAGTGACTCCTGAGGCCCCCCTTTTTCATTGTCCTCCTATTCCCTCTGGGCTTTCTTCCTTCTTTATTTTGTAAATATAGACCTTTTTTGGCTACTTCCAATTTTCTTGTCTTATGGAAATATACCTATTGCTGTTTCCTTGTCTTATGGAATTTTATTTAATAACTTTTCTGCCCTCACTATTTTTTGATCAGGTTGAATACATTTTGAACAGTAGTCTATAGGAATAATCTCACACATATTTTTCCCTAAGAGCCCTAGTTGATTGATAAAATTTTGAGCCTTACACTTGAGATTTTACATAAACCTTAGCCTGTCCCAAAGGTTTTTCTATTGAAGAATTTAAAGCAAACAAGTATTTAAAAAGTGCTTTGTGTGTATGTGTGATTCTAGAATCACTAAAATTCAGCTTGTGGAATACCAGAGAGGTCATTTTATCTAAGTTCAATAAGGTCTTATATTTTGTATTTGATTTTCAATACTTTCTATTATATTTTTAGTTAATCCTGAAGTCTTCAGTATTTTTAAAATGTATTTTTATTGACTTTAGAGAAGAAGGAAGAGGGAGAGAGAGAGGAACATCAATGATGAGAATCATTGATTGGCTGCTTCTTGCACACTCTCTCCTGGGGATTAAGCCCACAACCCAGGCATATGCCTTGACTGGGAATCAAACCCTGACCTCCTGGTTCATAGGTCAATGCTCAATGACTGAGCCACGCCGGCTGGGCAGTTTTCAGTATTTTTAAGTATGGATATTTAATGCTTTTATTTAATTCACATTAAAGAAACTATTACAAATGTAAAATTTATATTAGTGGAAAAACAACTAGAAAGTATATGAAAATTTAATTGCACATGTTCTTTATTTGCCAAGTATAGTAATATACAAGTTTGAATAGTTTTATGTAAACTTTTGTATTTAGGAAAAGGGTCAGAAAAAAAGTTATAGACAACTGAAGACTACTTTTGTTAATGTTACTTCTGAACATTCATTGTAAGTAATTTTTCATAAATTTTACAAATTGTTTTATATTTGAAGAAAACAAGTTTATTATATAATAGAGTTAATATTTCTCTTCATTTTTACAGGAATGATGTTTACAATTTTAATTTGAATGGAGCTGATGAGCCTATTATAAAACTTGGGGTAAGCTAGAAGTCTGTAGTTATTTTGTATTTATTCAGTATTTATTTTGTAACTATGATGCAGTTATTAGCGTGTATATTTTATTTCCATCCTCATATAGATGTTGTCCCAATTATGTCCCAATTAATTGATTATCTGTCTAGACTTAGTGGGACAAACGCAGGTGACCAGGAGTCAGCAATAACGGCCTATCCCCTGGTACTTCAATGTCTAGACAGCTGAGCCTAACTGGAACACATGAACACACACGACAGAATTAGTATGCAGTCACACAAGGTTTATTTACCTATTCCTAGTGGTCCTAGGCTCCAGCAAAGGCCACCTGGTGATGCACACCGAAAGATGGACGAGGAAGATAGAGACAGACAGGTGGCCACAATTGGTTCAGGCTCACACAGCAGGGCAGTCAATCAGGGGCTTGTCTCACAGAGTGACATGGAGTCCTCCTTTCATCAGGCAGGAGATGTTCACTGGAGAAAAATCTGTTGCTTGTATAGTCGGTGGTAAACAACTTGTGTCTTATTAGTGTGAGCCAGACGGTGTGCCTTGTGCTGGGAGCAGGGTGTTTATACTTTAAGGGCTTTAGGGCATTCACATCAAGATAGTGGGGTGTTCACCACATTTGGAAGTTACAGAGTATTGGGGTCTTCACACAGCAAACATTTCACATATTAATTATTTCACACATTAATTATTTCCACACATTAGAGGGGTTTCCTTATGACCATAACGTTATTATAACCTATGTGCTTTAAAATATTTTAAAATATATATTCTATTTATTTTTATTAAACTTATTGGAGTGACATTAGTTAACAACATGAATTTAAGTGTAAAACTTTGTAAGAAGACATATATACGCCATTGTGTGCTCACTACCCAAAGTTCAGTCTCTTTCCAAACATTTTTAAACATTTTAAAATTTGTTTGGTATCTACCTAGCTATATTTAGTTTCCTTTCAAGTACTTCGCATTGAAGTAGAGGAAAATGAGTAATTGGGACATGGAGGAACTCAGACTACTTCATCAAGAAAATCACTTTTCTTATAGATACAATAATTTAAAATACTTACAATTGGCTTGAAAATTTAAAACAGTTACTCTTTATTTTATTTTTAGTATATTTTACAGTTCTAGCTTTCTAAACTTAATTTTGTTGTCACATCTTAAGACTATATGAAGTGATAGAAACTAGATTTTATGTTTATTTCTTTTAGTTTTTGTTTACCTTATTTTGACACTAAGAAAAAAAAATTAATGCTTACTCACAATATAGATCCAGGAATTTCAAGCTACAGCTAGAGAAGCCTGTATGGATAATTCAATAAAATTGTAAGTGGTTTATTATAATTAGTTGAATCAGATTAAAATACACTTGTCTCAATTGTTCTTTTTCTTAAACATTTCCTTCCCATTTATCTGAGAGTTTTTAATATATGAAATACTGTCATAATTACTCCCATTATTATCCTGTTATTTCAGCATTTATAGTTGATCCTTGAACAACATGGGGGTTAGGAGCACCAGCCCCCTATGTAGTTAAAAATTTGAGTATAGCTTTTGACTCCCCAAAAACTTAATTTCTAATACCCTACTGTTGATCCAGAAGCCTTGCTGTTAACATAAACAGTTGGTAACACATACTGTGTATATTGTATGTGTTATATACAGTATTCTTACAGTAAAGTAAGCTAGAGAAAAGAAAATGTAAAGAAAATCATAAGGAAGAGAAAATACATTTGTAGTAGTTATTGAAAATAATCTGTGTATAAAGGAATCTGCGCAGTTCAAATCCTGTGTTTTTTAACAGTCAACTATATTTCTAAAGTTAATAATGCAGATTCTGTGCACTTTTTTATATTATTATTTTTATTGATTTCAGAGAAGAAGGGGGAGGGGGAGGGAGAGGGAGAAAGAGATAGAAACATCAATGATGAGAATCATTGATCAGCTGCCTCCTGCAACACCCCCTACTGGAGATCGAGCCCACAACCCTGGGCATGTGCCCTTGACCGGAATCAAACCCAGGACCCTTCAGTCCGCAGGCCAACACTCTATCCACTGAACCAAACCGGCTAGGGCCAGATTCTGTGCACTTTTAATATTAGTTGTACATCTTACATGATAAAACTGAAAGGGCTTAGTAGTACTTTCATCTAATCTTGTAATTTTATAATTAAGTGAAATCAGAGAGGAAACATCACTTGGCTAGAATTATATAAGTGAATTAGTAAAGACTAAGGCTGAAAATCCAGATCTAACTGTTCAGTGCATGCTACCTTAAGAAAAAAGTACTTAAGATTAATTAAAATTAATGTATATTTTTGTTTAAGGGTTGGTTTAAGGAATCATGATGAACTCGAACCTTCTCTCAAAACCAAAGATAAAAGAGTGAGTTATAATATCCTCATATTAAAACCAGTATTTCTTTTAATAATTTTCCAATACCAAAGGTTGTCACAGAACTGGAAAACATAAACAATTAGATCTTTTTTTTCCTCAGAGCTTATCCATGTTCCCAATTTGACTTTTCTTAATGGTCTCTGAGCTACTGTGATCATTGAGTAATAGATGTGACAACTTTAGTTCCTTTCTTTGATGGTAATAGGTTGTGTCTCTATGGAAGACAGCTGATGTGATTCAGCTTTTAATTAACAACAGCACAGAAAACAAAATACAAATCTCTGATCTGGATTTTCTCATGACTTCTTGGATAGGTCCTTAATGCCAGGTAGATTAGTTTGCTAAAAACATGAGAAGTTATTCTGTTTGTTGTTTTGTTTGTGGAATTTATTTTTGGCTTAACTTACTTTGGATGCCATATAAGACACATTTCTTCATCTATTATGAGTATTCTTTTTTTTAAAATAGGTAACAAGTCATAAAAATAAAAACCTCTTTAGTGATACTGACACAGAATACAGCTGTGATGACGGCAAGACTGACATTAGCTGGCTAAGAGAATCAAAATCAAAACCACAGCTAATAGGATATAGCAGAAATAAAAGTGTGAAGAAGAAAGAGAAAAGTGGGAAATCAAGTAAGAAATCACTTTTTAGAGAAATGTTCCAAATAATTTTACTATTTCAGCTATATAAAATGCTCTGTTGGTAGCTAAGTATATTTTTATATGTGGATAGTATTTTTTATTACACACCCTTATGAATAGAAAAAAGAGTGAAAGCAAATACACAAACACTACAGTGGTTTTGCTTTTTGTTTTATTACTTTTGTAAGATGGTTATATTTAAATTGCTTTTTTTTAAATGGGATATTTAGGGACATAAAGTATGATTTATCATGATCTTGGGTTCATGACATACTGTTACCATGTATCTGTTCTTGGCCTACTGTTATTCAGTTATTGGGTATTTATTGTGAATAATTATATTAAGTACTCATGAACCCAGCACCCTAAATAAAATCAAAGCTTGGACAACATCCCCATTCCCTGCCATACCCAACACACATGAGTTTTAGGAATTGATACAGATGCAGCAAATATATATTGAAAGGAAAACAATTTTTTTGTAGAAATATTTTTCCCAAATTTTCACAGAGTGTTTTGCTAGCATATATATGGCTTCTGCTTTCTCTAGTAAATCTCCTGAAGTAGTTGGATAAGAGTTTGAGGTATGTGTTTTGGGCTAGACGTAATGACCATTTTCATTGTTTAACATCAATTTTAATGTTTACTAAAATGCAAAGACTTAATATATTCCATTTTTAATAGAAGACAACATAACTGAGCTGTTAAATTTATATTTATTTTAAGGGAATCAGCTTTTTAAATTTAAATCATTTTTTTCAATTACATTTGACATACAATATTATATTAGTTTCACATGTATATCCCAGTGATTGACGTTATATAACTTATTAAGTGATCATCCTGATAAATTTAGTACCCACCTGACACCATACATAGTTATTAGAATATTATTGACTATATTCCCTATGCTATATTTTACAACCCCATCACTATTCTGTAACAACCAATTTGTACCTCTGAATCCCTTCATTTATTTACCAATTGCAACTCCCTTCCCATCTGGCAACCATCAAAATGTTCCCTGTATCTATCAGTCTGTTTGTGTTCTGTTTCTTCATTTATTTTGTTTTTAGATTCATTTGTTGATATATATGCATTTGTTGCCATATTATTGTTCATGTTTTTTTATTTACTCTTCTTCTACTTCTTTAAAAATACCCTTTAACATTTCACGTAATATTGGTTTGAGGTAAATTCCTTTAGCTTTTTCTTGTCTGGGAAACTCTACATATGTCCTTCAATTCTAAATGATAGCTTTGCTGGATAGAGTAGTCTTAGTGGTAAGTCCTTGCTCTTCATCACTTTGAATATTTCTTGCCAATCCCTTCTTGCCTGCAAAGTTTTTGTTGAGAAATCAGCTGACAGTCTTATGGGAGCTTCTTTGTAGGAAACTAACTGCTTTTCTCTTGCTGCTCTTAAGATTTTTTGTCTTTAAACTTTTGCATTTTAATTATGATGTGTCTTGGTGTGGGCCTCTTTGGATTCAGCTTATTTGGTACACTATGAGCTTCCTGTACTTGTATGAATATTTCCTTCATCAGGTAAGGGAAGTTTTTTGTCATTTTTTCAAATAGGTTTTCAACTTCTTGCTCACTCTCTTCTCCTTCCAGCACTACCATGATGCAAATGTTGGTACCCTTGAAGTTGTCCCAGAGGCTCCTACATCTTTTTGTATTCTTTTTTCTGGGAGTCAGCTTTTATTTTATTTCAGGATAAAAATAACCAGTAGCAACCTGTGAGGTGGGAGAAGAGGTAATGGCTTAAAAAGAAATAAAAATAGAGATATGGAAATGAACTTTGTCATGTGTTTAGATATGAGGCTGATTTTTGAAAACAGATGAGAGGCCAGTCATATGCACAAGGAAGAGAAGAAACAGGATTATCATAAAAAAGAGACTGAAGTATGAAGTAGCTTAGTGTGCTCAGAGGATGCAGTATTGTAGTAATTAGAATGTAGATCAAATTTGTGGGAAAATGTTCAAAGATGTGGCTAGATCTAGTCATAGTTAGTGGACTTTGAAGCATTGGAGAAACATAAGATTCACATGTTCTCAGGGAACTTACAGTCTAGTGGGAAGATGTACAAATAAGGACAAAGTGGAAGATTAGAGATCTTGGGAGACATGAAAGGTTAGAATATTGTAGTCAGTAATTACTTTTAAAGTTGAACTTCTGAGTGAATTGTTTTGTGCCCTTGACTGGAATCAAACCAGGGACCTTTTAGTCTGCAGGCCAATGCTCTATCCATGAGCCAAACCATCTAGGGCAACATTAACACTCTTGTGCTGGAAGCCAGTCCATCCTTGCTGCTTGACACAGTCACTGCAGGGAAGAAACATCTGCACAGCATATGTTTCAAGGGACCTGGCATATATGTCATACTGTTCTTAATATGTTTGCTCACCTTCTTGGCGCTATGTGTTTTAACCAAGGTCGCCTCTCCAAGAAAGGTTGTTTCCCCAGGTAGGGGTTTTTCCCTGAAGTTAGGGAGGGAATAAAACCCCTTAACTAAATGCCAGGCGGGTAGTTAATCACTTTAACTATGAACAATCACCCTTAAGCTACATAATCTTTACTCCCTGGAATGGAGATAAGAAACGCCCTAACCTTTGCAATAGAAATTGACAGGATTAAAATCAACTGGTATAAATACAGATGTAACAAGACAAGAACCAGAACTTGGCTGGAGTTCCTGGCTAGAAATCCTGGCTAGGCTGCTGATCAACTGAACGCTGTCTCCGTGTCATTCCTTCTTCACCGACTCCGTCCACACCTTTGGGGACCCCTGGACCTGTTGGGGTTGGACCCTAACACTCTTGATGGTCTCTTTATGTTTTAAAATTGTGTTAATCATTGATTTCACCAGCAACAAAAACGTTCTCTCCTTTGTTGCCCAATAGATGCTTTTTGTCAGGGGTTATCAGGTTGAAAACTGAAGTTTTGGTCGACAACCGAGACATTTTTTCTGTAAAAAATTAGGTGGAGAACCACACTGTTCAAGATGGGAGGCGTTTGAGAAAAGAGATCTGACTGATTGTAGATTGTCAATATGTTGAATCTACTTATATGTATTCTTTTATGAGATCCTCCATATTCCCTCTGCTGAAGGACTGAATGATAAGTCAATATGTCTGAGCTGTCTTATTGCCAAGGTTGGGAATCTTTCTTCCAGAACTTCATTGCTTGCTTTGCTTGGATAATCTCACTTCTTAGACTACAGAGAATATTCAGGAAATTGAAATTGTGCTTGAAAGGAAAAAGTGAATAGGGTCTAAAGCTACTCTCAAGAATGTGAATAAATCTCAGAAACAGAATGAGTGAAAAATAAAACAAGTCATAGAATATTACATAAAATATGACTATTTTATAAAGTTGATTGTATTGACTAGGGATACATATTTGCGAATTAAAACCTTTTTTGAGACAAATGAATGAGAAACACAGATTTCAGGATAGTGATTACCCTTTAGCAGAGGGAATGTAGAGGATCACATAAAAAAATACATATAAGTAGATTCAATATATTGACAATCTACAGTCAAACCTCATTTCTTGAGCATCTCCCATCTCAAACAGTGTGGTTCTCCACCAAGTTGTTCACAGAAATAATGTCTCGGTTGTTGACAAAACTTCAGTTTTCAACCTGATAATCCTTTCATGCTGATACTTCAGCATGACAAAAAGCATCTCTCAGGCAACAAAGGAGGGAATGTTTTTGTTGCTGGTGAATACAATGATTAACACAATTTTAAAACAAAGAGACCATCAAGAGTGTTAATGTTGCTCTAGCAGGTTTGGCTTAGTGGATAGAGCATTAGCCTGCAGACTAAAGGGTCCCTGGTTTGATTCCAGTCAAGTGCACATGCCCGGTTGTGGGCTTGATCCCCAGTAGGAGGTGTGCAGAAGACAGCCAATCCACAGTTCTCTCATCATTGAAGTTTTTATCTCTCCCTCTCCTGTCCTCTCTGAAGTCAATAAAAAATAAAGAACAAAGACCACAGGTCAGCAATTAAAAAAAAAAAAGAGTATTAATGTTGATAAGGATGTGAAAGTGCTCATAAAACAACAATCATGGGCAATTGAATAGGTAGAAAAACTGTTGTTGATTGGATAAAGGAAAAGCAGTTAGCCCGTGATAGCATTTTGGAGGCAGTGATATATTTAAAATTCATTTAAGGCTAGTAGAGGGTGGTTCGATAAATTTAAGAAGTGTTTATAGATGACACAGTACATTACACATTGTATTATATATAAGAAATCTACATTAATAAAATACAAACATGCAAATTGACTATACCTTCACTGTGCCTTAAGCCAGTGGTTCCCAAACTTATTTGGCCTACCGCCCCCTTTCCAGAAAAAATATTACTCAGCGCCCCTGGAAATTAATTTTTTTAAAATTTTAATAGCAATTAAACAGAAAGATATATGTATTAATGTTTCTACCTTTTTTGTAAAATATAGTAAAGAAAGGTGTAAATTAGAAACATTGAAGTTTGAAATTATGAAACTATTTATTGAACTCAGAATAGAAAGGTAATACAAAAAAAGTTAAAACAAATGCACCTGTGGCCATCACCGCCTCCCTGGATTGCTGCAGCACCCACCAGGGGGCGGTAGCGCACACTTTGGGAATCACTGCCTTAAGCCATGCCCACCAGCCAATCAGAGTGACTGTGTGCAAATTAACCCAACCAAGATGGCGGCCAGCAGCCACAGAGCTGGAGCAAGCAGGAGGGTTCGTTGCCTCAGTGATGAAGAAAGCCAAGCTTCCGGCCTGCCGCGGCCATCTCTGAGCTCTACTCAAAGCAACAAAGTTTCAATTATAGAAGATAAATAAACCCCAGATACCTGCTTTCAGCCAGCCGTGGCCACGGAGCTGGAGCAAGCAGGAGGCTTGGGTTGCCCCTGGCGATGGAGGAAGCCAAGCTTCTGGCCCACCCTGGCCGGCTCTGAACTCCACTCAAGGCTACAAAGTTTCAATTATAGAAGGTAAATAAACTTCAGAATTAAAAACGAAAAAGAAAAAACGAAGAGGCTGGGAGCTTCCGTCACCGGGGGGCTTGGCCAGCCTGAAAATGGCCCTCAGCCCCTCACCCAGACTGGCCAGGCACCCCAGTGGACCCCCCACCCTAAAGGGGGTGTGGCCAGCCTGCAAACAGCCATCAGCCCCTCACCCAGGCTGGCCAGGCATCCCAGTGGGGACCCCCACCCTGAAGGGGGTGTGAGCACCTGCAAACAGCCATCAGCCCCTCACCCAGGCTGGCCAGGCACCCCAGCGGGACCCCCACCCTGATCCAGGACAGCCTTCAGGGCAAACCAGCCAGCCCCCATCCATGCACCAGACCTCTATCCTATATAATAAAAGGGTAATATGCAAATTGATCCTAACAGCAGAATGACTGGGAATGACTGGTCACTATGACACACACTGACCACCAGGGGGCAGATGCTCAATGCAGGAGCTGTCCCTTGGTTGTCAGTGCGCTCCCACATGGGGAGCTCTGCTCAGCCACAAGCCAGGATGATGGCTGCTAGCACAGCGGTGGTGGCGGGAGCCTCTCCCTCCACCTCAGCAGCACTAAGGATGTCCGACTGCAGCTTAGGTCTGCTCCCTGCTGGTAAGTGGACATCCCCCAAGGGCTGCCGGGCTGCTAGAGGGATGTCTGACTGCCAGCTTGGGCCTGATCCCCCAGGGAGCAAGCCTAAGCCAGCAGGTGGACATCCTCCAAGGGGTCCCAGACTGCAAGAGGGCATAGGCCAGGCTGAGGGACCCCCCCGAGTGCACAAATTTTTGTGCACCAGGCCTCTAGTCTACATATATAAAAGCCTAAGCAACTGGAATGACCGGTTGCTATGACGCACACTGACCACCAGGGGCAGATGCTCAATGCAGGAGCAGACTCCTGGTGCTCAGTGCGCTCCCACAGCCAACCACCCCCAACCGGACAACCTCCTGGGGTCCCTCCCCACCAGCCAGCAGTCCCTGATCACCCGATCAGGGCTGGCCCCTGGGGTTGGAAAGGAGAATTGGGGATGGGTAGTGGCAGACATGGCCCCTTTCCCAGGGGGCTGAGGACCGGCTCCCTCCTCGGGGCCGGCAGCCAACCTCCCATGCCTCATCCCTCCTTCTGGCCAGCAGGCCCCGATCAGCATGCCGCCCTCCCGCCGTGGTGGTGGCGCAGCGGTGAGGAAAGGAGGAGGGGGGGGGAGGCGGGGTACTACACGGTGGCGGAGTGCCAATGATGACGGCAGTGGCCGTGGCCGGCGTCTGTTCCTTCCATGCCCCGCCCAGCAACCGTCGCTCCCTCTCCAGCAGTGCCCTGATCGGCCTGGCCTCAATTGGACCTGAACACTGGCCAGGCCTGTGGACCCCACCCATGCATGAATTTTGTGCACTGGGCCTCTAGTGTTAAATAAAATGGAATCATTTGGGGGTCTGGAACAGATTAATTCAATTTACCTTATTTCTAATGGGAAAAAATGATTCAGTGTTTAAACAAATGATTCAGTGCTTCTCGAACAGCCTTCCGGAACGCATTAAGTTTGAGAACCAAGGTTCCACTGTAGTTCCTAAACTGAATAGTAGCATCATGGATGTTAACTTTATAACTTACGTTACATATTCTCTTGTATGTTTAAAAAGTTTTATAATATAAAGGAGAAGGGAAATGGGTAAGTCACATGATATCAAATACTATACAGTTAAAGTTTTCAAAGTCAATTTGGCCTCAAATCATCTTTAAATTTAAAGTTGGAATGAGTTTAAAAATGTATTCCTATTTTCTATGATTTCAACTTATATACAGAAATATTCTAATAAGATTTATTTACTTATTTATTCATTTACTTATTTATTCATTTATTTATTAAATTGATTGGGGTGACATTGGTCAACATGAATGAGATTTCAGGTGTGGGTTTCTATCTTACAAGATCTGTATATTGCACCATGTGTCCACCACCCAAAGTCAAATCTTCTGTAACCTTATATTACAACCCCTTTCTCCTCCCACCCCCTTACCTCTGGCAACCACCATGCTGCTGTTTGTGTTCATGAGTTTCAGTCTTACATCCCACATATGAGTGAAATCATATGGTTCTTAGCTTTTTCTAACAGACTTATTCAACCTCACTGGCAATTAGGGAAATGCAAATCAAAACTACAATGAGATACCTTATACCTGTTCAAGTGGCCAGTAAGTTTTAATGCCAGTTTTTAACCATTTGAAAATTTTAACCTTATTTTCTTGAATTGCAGGACCATCTTTGGAAAGGGAACAACCAAGATCTAAAATGGTAAAACTTGGAAGTTTGTGTTCACACATCCCTTTAAAATCATTTTTCTCTTTGTCATGAAAAAAAATTCATGTGTCATCACATAATTTTATCCTTATCAGTCACTTGTTTCTCATATTTGTGTCAGTCTTTGCACCCTTACTCCTACCTTCTGCCTTTTTAAACATGTTAGCCTGTTGTACGTCTATTTTATTCTGTGGTGAAAGGTATTTTTGACATCTCTTTTTTTTCTCTCTCTTTTTTACTTAAGTTAGGTAATATAAATCAGGCCTTTCAAACCTTTAATTACAGGGATAAAAAGGCAATAGAGAAGATATTTGGAATGGAAATGTAAAATCCAGTCTTTTTAAAATATATAACTGGAAGTTCATGCTTTTTAATCTTTAGCCCCTTTGTCTTTCCTTCCCCCCTCCCACTTTGGCAGCCATCAGTTTGCTCTGTATTTATGAGTTGGTTTCTGTTTTGTTTTTGAGATTCTACATGTAATTGAAATCATACAGTATTTGTTTTTCTCTGAATTACTTTAGTTAACATGATATTCTCTAGGTTTTTATCACTAAGTAATACTCTGGTATATTCTAGTCTTTTTTGTAAAATTCTGTCTTTTTAAAAATACTAATCTGAAATCTTTTATTTCTAGAAATATATTATAGCAAATAACTTGTGCTTCTTGTAACTCAAATATTGATATAATATTCAGGAATTTTTCTCCCCCAGACACCCAAGAAGAGTACCACCAAAAAGGTAGATGAAACCATTCCAGATGGGAGAACCAGACTTCCACGAAGAGCAGCAAACACAAAAATAAATTATAAAGATCTCTCAAATTCAGAATCAGAATGTGAACAAGAAGTTTCACACTCATTGAAAGAGAAATTGCTAGTAAAGGTAAATAGAAACAATTTAGATTAATAATTTCTAAAAGCCTTTTAAAATATTAAATATAGGATTTTTTAAATGTCAAATGTATCTGTTCACTTCTTTTTAAGATTTAATCCTCTATATGAGAAAATTTATATAATTCTAAAAATTGATCCTTAGGCAATATAATGCTTGTAATAAGTTGTCATTAGTGTTACAAAACAGATGTTTGACTCCAGTAGAATTGTAACTTTAAGAATTTGTACTTCTCCTTGAATTAGAGAAATACTTGATCTTTCCAAAAAGCTTCAAGAAAGTACAGACTGATAGGAAACTATAGATCTTTCTCTTGATTGAAAGTAAAACTACTGGATCTGAGGTTCTTCTCATACACTATTTTTTCTCTGTCCATCCCTGACTTCTTCCTTAGATCTCATAATGTCACAGCCATTCCTACTCACTTGTGCTTGAAAGCTTTTAAATGAAGTTTTAGAAAATGGTGTTTAGCCCTGGCCGGTTTGCTCAGTGGATAGAGCGTTGGCTTGAGGACTAAAGGGTCCCGGGTTCGATTCCAGTCAAGGGCACATGCCTGGGTTGTGGGCTCAGTCCCCAATGGGGGGCGTTCAGGAGACAGCCAATCAATTATTCTCTCTCATCATTGATGTTTCTGTCTCTCCCTCTCCCTTCCTCTCTGAAATCAATAAAAATATATATTTTTTAAAGTGTTGTTTATAATGTGCCAGGTACTATTTTAAGTGCAGAAAGTCCTCAACTTACAATTGTTCAACTTATAATTTTTTACTTTACACTGGTGTGAAACTAGTAGAAACCATTCTTCAGGTTTTGAAGTTTTATCTTTGCCCAGACTAGCAATTTGTGGCCAGGGGCAGCAAGCCACAGCTCCCAGTCAGGCACACCATTGCCAGGGTCAACAAACAACACTGTAGTGCACTGTGTTGCCAGGGTTTTTTGGATAATGTGTTCTGAGCACAGTTAAGTAGATGAGACTAATGAAGTTCAGTAGTTAGATGTAGTAAGTACATTTTTTACAACCATATTTTCAACTTATAGTGGGCTTATAGGGACATACCCCACTGTAAATTGAGGAACATCTATATGTACTTTGTAAATTTGACTTCTTAAAATCCCATAAGTACTATAGGTGACTAGTACTATTATTATTTTTAATATGTATTTTTTATTGTTGATAGTATTAGAGATGTCTCCCCTTCCCCCCGCCTTCCTCCCAGCCCCTACCCATCCCCCAGGTCTTCACTACCCTATGCCCATGTCCATGGGCTATGCATATAACTATATAAGTTCTTTGGTTTATCTCTTCTCATCCCCCCAACCCCACATTAAGGTATGTCAGTCTGTTCCATGTCTCCATGCCTCAGGTCCTATTTTGTTGATCAATTCATTTTGTTCATTAGATTCCACAAATAAGTGAGATCATGTGATACTTGTCTTTCTCTGACTAGCTTATTTCAATTAGCATAATATTCTCCAGGTTCATCCATGCTGTCCCTAAGGGTAAGAGATCCCTCTTTTTTTTACAGCTGCATAGTATTCCATTGTGTAAATTTCCCACAGCTTTTTATCCACTCATCTACTGATGGGGACTTGGGCTGTTTCCAGACCTTAGCTAGTGTAATAATGCTGCTATAAATATAGGGATGCATATATTCTTTCTGGTTGGTGTTTCAGGATTTTTAAGATATATTCCCAGAAGTGGGATCTCTGGGTCAAATGAAAGTTCCATTTTTAATTTTTTTGAGGAAACTCCATACTGTTTTCCATAGTGGCTGCACCAGTCTGCATTCCCACCAGCAGTGAACTAGTGTTCCCTTTACTAGTACTGTTATTGACATCTCATTTTACAAATGAGAAAATTGAGGCACAGAGAGATGAAGGAACTTGCCCAAATCAGCACAGATAGGAAGTGGTAAACAAATGGTTTGAACCTAAAGAGTTTGGCACTATAGGTATGTGTCTCTGGCCATTACACTGTTCTGATTTTAAATCGTTAAACCTCCATATCCCTTTGTTTGTAACCTTATCTCTTACCTGGAAGACATTAAGGTAATGTCTTATTTTAGTTTACTATACATGTAGTCAGGTCAGTCTTCCCAGGCCACCTTCTCATCTTCTCCATCTTCAAAGGAAAACTTTGAGTATCTATCTCCATGTAGTCAGACATTCAAAGCATCAAAATACCTTTCCAAGCTTATTTCCTCTCCTCCCTAGTGTACCCCCAGGGCTGTGACAGTCAGAATACCTGCAGTTTCCAAATGAGACCTGTACTTGTCTACTCTGTGTGCCAGCAGGCCTCCATCCCCTCAATGCTCCTTCTCTCCCCACCCTCTTTTCCAGACTCCAGAGCCCTGGAACCCAGGAACTCTCTCTGCTTTCACTAAACTGAGTATAATCTCCTGAACTTTATTTTATTGTTATCTCTTGTGGTATTTATTATCCTATATAATAAAAGCCTAGGTGGTGTCACCATCACAAGATGGCCACCACAAGATGGCCAGCAGAGGAGGGCAGTAGGGGGCCATCGGGCCAGCAAGGGAGGGCAATTGGGAGTGATCAGGCCAGCAGGGGAGCAGTTAGGCGTCAGTCAGCCGAGCAGTTAGGTGTCAATCAGGCCAGCAGGAGAGCAGTTAAGGGGTGATCAGGCTGGCAGGCAGAAGCAGTTAGGGGCATGGAGGCAGACAGGCAGCAGGTGAGTGGTTAGGATCCAATAGTCCTGGATTGTGAGAGGGATGTCTGACTGCCAATTTAGGCCCGATCCCTGTGGGGATCGGCAGTCAGACGTCCCCCAAGGGGTCCCAGGTTGGAGAGTGTGCAGGCTGGGCTGAGGGACACCCCTACCCTCCATGCATGAATTTCGTGCATCGGGCCTCTAGTCCTATATAATAAAGAGCTAATATGCAAATGGTCCTCACGCCCTCATGCCATCACACTGTAACTGCTCAGACACTCAACACTGGGGAGAGAGGAATGGGGACCAGCCAGGCTGCAGCCCAGGAGAGGGACAAGCCGCCTGCCCCATGGTCCTGGGCGCCAGTGCCTGCAGCTGTGGCCCAGGAGAGGGACAAGCACCCACACCACAGTCCTGGGCACCTGCAGCTGTGGCCTGGGTGAAGTCGCCAACCCATGGTCCTCTGCAACTTTGGCTGGCCTGGGTGAAGCCAGCCCAGGTCCTGGGTGCCTGTGGCTGGCCAGAGGGAGGGAAGCCTGGGTCTCGGGTGTCCGCAACTGGCTGCAGGAGGGAATCCTGGGTCCTGGGTGTGGGGCAAGGCAGAGGCAATTAGGGGCAATCAGGCCAGCAGGGGAGCAGTTAGGGGTGATCAGGCCGGTAGGGGAGCAGTTAGGGGTGATCAGGAAGGCAGGCAGAGGTGGTTAGGGGCGATCAGGCAGGCAGAGGTGGTTAGGGATGATGAGGCAGGCAGGCAGGCGAGCGGTTAGGAGCCAGTGGTCCAGGATTGCAAGAGGCAGTCAGACATCTCCCGAAGGGTCCCAGATTGGAGAGGGTGCAGGCTGGGCTGAGGGATGACCCCCACCCCCAACATGAATTTCGTGCACTGGGCCTCTAGTAGTGTATATATTATATTTCTGGTGAATTTCCCATATGTCTTTGGGGGTATTAGACTCTTCCACTACTCATGTTGCAGCCCCTGCTATGCTCATATGTAGTAATATAAGACATTTCATAAATATTTCAATGTAATTTAAATTACTTGTATTATAGTATAATTTGAAAGTTATTAATACATTTAGGAGGAGAATATCCATTCCAGAAGCAAAACCATGAAGCTGCCAAAGAAACAGCAGAATGCCTGCTCTGCGGAAACACAAAAGGATATATCAAAAGAATGGGCAAACTCATCTCTCCTAAAAAGTACTACTATAAGAGACAACAGCCTTGACTTATCTTCTGTGTCTTTACCTGGGAGTTCACCCTCTATAGAAGTAATGAGATGTCAGTATCTTCTTATTTCTTTAGTTGAATATTTAAAAACCTTATAACTAATTATATGAAAATATAATTTGAAGAGTAATTTTAAGAGGTGTATTAAGATTATAGGTAGTCAAAATTTTATTTTGAAACTAGTTAATGCTCAGAACTTGGTCTTTGCTAAGTATAAGTAGACTTGGGATTAATGTTACTATGACACTGAAGTTGTTCATATTTGCACTTTTTATACTTTCAGTTTCTGTAAAGGGTGTTTTAAGCATTTCTAAATGTCTATAATTTCAGTTAAAATTCAAGACTTACATCAGTTAACATATACACTTCCTCTAAAGTGACTATTTTGTTCTTTTCTAGAATATTTCCATAATGCTTGGGAATGCTGTCAGATAAGCATATACTCACGAAGACAGATGCACATGCCCTAATTTGTTCTGAAAACTGAGAATTCACTTATATTGATTTATTTTAGCCATGAATTTCCTCATCCTATGTAATAAAAGGCTAATATGCAAATTGTCCCCTCAACCTGGAGTTCAACCAGGGGGCAGGGCCAGCCAGCCAACTGCCTGTGCCCCCCCCCCCCCCTGGCCGGACCCCACCCGTGCACGAATTCATGCTCTGGGCCTCTAGTATATATATGAAGGATTTAAGCCAAATGATTTGCCAAGTCTTTCCAACCATAAAATTCTGTGACTTATATATAATAGTACTGATGTCAAATACTCTGGTTGCTCATTATAGTAGTGCAGCTTATACTATAGATAATTTTGTTTAGAAATATTTGGACTATTCTTATGGTTACAATTACATTTTAAATGGACCCATTTAATATTTTTCAAAGTCTTATATAATATTTTAAACATAATTTGGTCTTGATTTAGTGAAAGTTTACCCTTTTTAAATACAGCTAAGACTTGAGAATTTGATAAATTATATATTCTTTAGAACTTAAATTAATCATGCTGTTCTAAAACAGACATCATTAAAACCTGCCATCTCTCTTTTATTTGTGTCTTGTGAGGAAATATAGGCACAGAAAAAATAACAGGAAGGGATTTTACTCAGGATCATGACTGTATAACAAAATCTATATCATCTAATACAAAAACTTCCTCACCTGAATCCTTCAACAGTAAATATGGAGTGGAAAGACCAGTAAAGTCACTGAAAAACAGTGTGAAAAATTTACTGTGTGCAAGAGAAAGTTGTTCACCAATTCCACAATCATTCTCTTTGGTAAGATTATAGAATATTTTCCTTAATCAGATATATTTATAGTTAGTAAATCATTTTCCTCTAATCAAATACACATTGTTTATCTACTATAGCTTAAGCTTTTGTGTCTGGTCTGGAGGAGAAGAGGATCCTACCAATAAGTAAAATAGCCTCAATAAACCTAATAGACTGATTAGAGCTGCTGGACAGGAGGAAAGTGGTGGTATGAGAAACACAGAGTGCTGGCAAGAGTGCTGTGATGGGAAGGCTTGTTTCCAAAGAGGCACGCTTATTTGTCTATACATCAAAACTACATAATTTATTTTCTAGATTTGAATAAGCTTAGTCCTGCAACACTGACACTTGTTTCAGATTCTACCGTAATTCTAAGTTTGTAACCTTTAGTTACTAAATCACAGATTGACAAAGCAAATTGCCAAGAATTTCAGTTGAAAACAGTATGCTGGGGGAGAACCAAGATGTCAGTGTAGGCAAATGCCTGTACTCGCTGCCTCCCCCAAACACATCAAAATTACAACTAAAATACAGAACAACCATCATCCATAACTGCCAGAAAGCTGGCTGAATGGAAGTACTACAACTAGAGAAGTAAAGAAGAAAGCACATTGAGACTGGTAGAAAGTGCGGAGGCATGGAAGGGGCTGGACTGAAGCGGCTGGCTGTGCCGCTTTTTTAATCAGGAGGAAAATTGCCTCTGCAGAGGCCACCCAGAGGAGCATGGGGTCCCAGCGCCACACCAGATGCCCAGCCCTGAGTCCCAGAGCTTGGAAAAGAAGTCCCTACAGGCAGTAAGAACTATGGGCTATAAAAACCAGCGCAGATTGGAGCTGAGTGACACAGGCTGCTGGAGACCCAGCTGCTCCTCTTAAAAGGCCAGCACCACGAATTGAAATTACAAGCTCCCACTTCCTCTGAGCTCCAGTGCTGGGTGAGGCTCTGGGGGACCCAGACACATATGAGGAGAAACTGGACTGTCTGGCATCAGGGCAGGCACTCGGGGGTGGCTTTCTTCCAGACGGAGGTACTTGCAGCAGTCTTGTTCCTGTGCAGGGACCTCCCCAGTTGCAGGACTGACTGGCATCCATTTCTGTTTGCTATGCTCTGGTGATTCCCTGAGACCTGCTCCACCCAATTTACAACCCCATCCAAGCTATGCACAGCAGCTTTTGCATATGAATCCCCTGTCCTTTATCAGGCTAAAAACCTATCAAACAAGCTGCAGCTGGATTGGGGAGCCCCAAACCTATTAAAAGGCCCAAGACCCTGCACCAGCACCAGCCTGCTTTGCTTCACAGCTGGGCCTCCTCTGGGCACTTCTAAACCTAATACAAAAAGAAGGAATATGCAGATCTCTCTGTAGCTCTTGCTGGATGGTCCCAGGCAGTGGCTGACTTTGCACCTCTCTGGAGACCCAAGAGCCAGTGTACCCAGTGTGAGACCATACCGGATTAAAACTCTACACATCCATAAGCAAAACACTTAAGGGGAAGACTCAGTGAACACCAAAGCCCCACTGAAGCAAGTCCTGCTTCATAAGGGTGTCTGCTGCACAGCAGCTCTCCCACTGTAGTCGTAGCTGGTGCCCACAGCCAACTGGCCAGACGTCAATTCCTCCCAGTGACACCATCAGCAATCAAGGCTCAACTACAACAAGACTGTGCACACAGCCCACAAAGGGGTGTACATAGAGTGTCCACCTCAGGTGATTGGGGAAGCCGGGCCACAGGGCCCTATAGGACACCTACTACACAAGGCCATTCTACCAACTCAAGGAGACTTAGCAGCTATCCAGTACACAGAAACAAACACAAGGAAGTAGCCAAAGTGTGGAGACAAAGGAACATGTCACAAATAAAAGAAATGGAAGAAAGCAAACTACTGGATATAGAGTTCAAAATCACAGTTATAAGGTTACTCAAGAATCTTGTAGAAACCTCCAAGGGACTTAGTGAGACTTTCAAAGATCTTAGTGAGAATGCCAAAAAAAGTGGAAAAGAACCAGTCAGAAATTAAGCATACACTGACTGAACTAAAGCATAATATACAGGAATTCAACAGTAGACAAGAGGTCCCGAGAATCAAATCAATGAGTTGAAATATGAGGAGGCAAAAAACACCCAAAGGAAAAAAGAATCCAAAAATATAAAGATAGTGTAAGGAGCCTCTGGGACAACTTCAAGCATACCAACATCCAAATTATGGGGGTGCCAGAAGAAGAGAGAGAGCAAGATATTGAAAACCTATTTGAAGAAATAATGACAGAAAACTTCCCCTACCTGGTGAAAGAAATAGACTTCAAAGTCCAGGACGCACAGAGAACTCCAAACAAGAGGAACCCAAAGAGGACCACACCAAGACACATCATAAGTAAAATGCTAAGGGCAAAAGACAAACAGAGAATCTTAAAAGGAGCAAGAGAAAAGCAGTTACCTACAAGGGAGCACCCATACAACTCTTCGCTGATTTCTCAACAGAAACTATGCAGGCCAGAAAGGAGTGACAATAAATATTCAAAGTGATGAATAGCAAGAACTTACAACCAAGATTACCCTACCCAGCAAAGCTATCATTTAGAATTGAAAGTCAGATAAAGAGCTTCACAGACAAGAAAAAGCTAAAGGAGTTCATCACCACCAAACCAGTATTATATGAAATGCTGAAAGGTATTCTTTAAGAAGAGGAAGAAGAAGAAAAAGGTAAAGATAAAAAATATGAACAACAAAGTGGCAACAAATACATATGTATCAACAATTGAATTTAAAAATCAAACGAATATGTGCCACGCCAGCACAGCCAAGGGTAAACCTGAGTCAGGGTGGTGAAGGATTTAGAAAAGACAGACAAGAGAATAAAGCTGGGTCTTGGTGGGACGCTGCTTCTCTGATGGAGAGACAGTCTTGGCACTCACAAGCCAAGTCTTTATTTTATAGCCAGATTCCACGAGGTAAAGTAAGGGCGTGGTTCAGATGTTTACACTCTTCTAATCTACTCAATTACATGCACCTGAACTCTATCAAGCCCACATTACTCAAACACATGGGGCCACGTGTTCAGACTATAGGTTCAAACTTACAATTATAGCTGTTGGCTATAATTGTGCTGGGAGTGTTCTGCCCTCAAAGATGGGACTTGCACATGGCAATGAGAGGATTGTGCCCTCTCATGAGGCTTGAACCTGTCCAAACACTGTAGTCACTCTCCACACAAAGAAAAAATCTGATAAACAGAATAAACTGGTGAATGGAATAGAATTGGGCATGGAAATAGAAGAGATTGACGATTCTCAGAGGAATGGGGCTTTGGGGGAGGAGGGTGCGGGAAGAGATTAGAAAAGATCTTATATGCATGTATGCATTACCTATGGACACAGACAATAGGGTGACAGGGGCCTGGGGCGAGGTGGGAACCAGATGGAGAAGGTCTATGGCAGGAAAAAACAGGGATATCTGTAATAATCTCAACAATAAAGATTAATTTTTTAAAAAAGGAAGGAAAACAGTATGACTATAGTATTTGCTTTAGAGCAGTGGTTCTCAACCTTCTGGCCCTTTAAATGCATTTCCTCATGTTGTGACCCAGCCATAAAATTATTTTCGTGGCTACTTCATAACTGTAATGTTGCTACTGTTATGAATCGTAATGTAAATATCTGGTATGCAGGATGGTCTTAGGCAACCCCTGTGAAAGGGTCATTCGACCGCCAAAGGGGTTGCGACCCACAGGTTTAGAACCGCTGCTTTAGAGTTTTGTAAGGAACTTTAAAACTGGTAGGTAAATACTATGAATATTAAATTTAATATATTGAAAATTCCTTTTATGTGTTGTTACATGTACTATTTTTTTTTAAATTGATTTTAGAGAGGAAGGGAGAGAGAGAGAAACATCAATGATTAGAGTGCATCATCGATTGGCTGCCTCCTGCACAGCCTCTACACTGGGGATTGAGCCTGCAACCCAGGAATGTGCCCCGATCAGAATCAAACCATGCCTGGCTCCATTATTTGTTGCCTATGTAACATTTTACAAGTTGATGATTCCCTCTGCACCTCCGTTTTCTCATCTGTCAAATGGGGTTGTGAAAAATTAAATAGGCTGATTATGTAAGTATAATACCTGATACATTGTAAATATTCAAATATTTACATAGTAAATTCTCTTGATATGTACTAACCTCTGTATATAAAGTGGAATTAATGACAGTTCAGAACACCTATAGCCAAGATCTACAACCTCTAATAAAAACAACCTTGTGTTTTACCACTTCAAACAGTGTTTTTATTCCTAGAAATGTTTTAAGGTCCTTTTATTCTGTTTAACCAGTAGTTTTCACAGACCATATTTTTCAAACAGAATTTTATATGAAACCTCCAATGTGCCAAACAGATAAAAATGAACTATGCTGTTTAGAGCAGATAGGAGATCTAAACCAGGGGTCCTCAAACTATGGCCCGCAGGCCACATGCAAATACAAATATTGTATTTGTTCCCGTTTTGTTTTTTTACTTCAAAATAAGATATGTGCAGTGTGCATAGGAATTTGTTCATAGTTTTTTTTAAACTATAGTCCAGCCCTCTAACGATCTGAGGGACAGTGAACTGGCCCCCTGTTTAAAAAGTTTGAGGACTCCTGATCTAAACCTTAGCCTACTCAGCCTGTCTCCAGTAACCCCAAGGGACTTTTGCAGGGCTCTCAATTTTTGCACACCACAATTTGAAAAACAGTTTCCCACTAGACCAGCCGTGGGCAAACTACGGCCCACGGCCCGTTTGAAATGAATAAAACTAAAAAAAAAAAAAAAAAAGACCGTACCCTTTTATGTAATGATGTTTACTTTGAATTTATATTAGTTCACACAAACACTCCATCCATGCTTTTGTTCCGGCCCTCCGGTCCAGTTTAAGAACCCATTGTGGCCCTCGAGTCAAAAAGTTTGCCCACCCCTGCACTAGACTATCATCCCATGGTCCTTTGTCAGTATTACTCTATCAGCCTTACTTTCACTGAATCTTTTATCCTTTCGGTATCCTGGTTTTCAAATCTCAAAACCTAGGTAATCGCCCACTTTCTTTGATGCTACTTTGTACTAGATGGAATTTAAATTGTTACATTTATTGGCTGGACATTTATATGAGACATTTTGTTTCCTACTTACTGTGTGCTATTAATTAGGTATTGGAAATTTGCTCTATAAGTTAGTTGTACCAGCTTGCATACTTTACCCTCACCAACAGTGCCCATTTCTCTATAGTTTTCATTAACTGGCTGTTATCAAATGTTTCTGTTTTTGCCAACCTGATGCCTATGTAATGTCTCTCACTTTAATTTGCATTTTCCTGATTAACAGTATCTAGTGTTTTCATATGTTTTTTGACCATTTTGTGAATTGCCTATTTTTTCCTTACTTTTAAATTGCGTTGTTTGATTTTTCTTACAAATCTATAGAAGTTCTTAATATACTCTGGACATTAATTCTGTATTGGTTATATACAACACAAAATTTTTTTCCAGTATTTATCTTGCCTTTATATCTCCCACAACTTTGACAGTTCCACCAGAATTGCCTGCCAATCTAGATTCTCCTGGATTTTGCGTATAGCCAATCACAAACTGTTATACCTGATAATTTTGCATTCTGTTCCACTCCTTATTCTTTCTGGGGTTTGTTTGTTTGTTTGTTTGTTTGTTTGTTTGTTTGTTAAGGTGGCTATGATCTCTGGAGCGATGTTAAATAGATATTGTGCTAGCAGATGCTTAGCCATGGTTTTTGGTAGATACTTGTTATCAAATTAATGTTCTTGTTATCTAAGGATTTCTTTTATAATTTTGAATAGATGTTGAATTTTAGCAACAGATGAATTATTCCCTCAAAATTTAAATAGTTTTGGTTTAATAGTTTTGGCTTTAAATAATTTTTTGGGTTTCTATATGTCTTGCTCATTCATAGCCCAGGATACTCCTATTAAAAATAATACTATTGTGCCAAAACCGGTTTGGCTCAGGGGATGGAGCGTCGGGCTGTGGACTGAAAGGTCCCAGATTCGATTCCGGTCGGGGGCATGTGCCTTGGTTGCGGGCATATCCCCGGTGGGAGATGTGCAGGAGGCAGCTGATCGGTGTTTCTCTCTCATCGATGTTTCTGACTATCTCTCTCTCTCCCTTCCTGTCAAAAATCAATAAAATATATTAAAAAAATAAATAAAATAAAAATAATACTATTGTGAATAGAAAAAAATGTAAATTTTGTTGTTTTTAAATAAGAAACATAAAATTGCAATAGCTATTCAGATATAAATAATTATAGTTCAGAAAAAAACAGTTTATGGATATTGAACCTCCAAATATCAATAACAATCATATACAAAGCAAAAGGGAGAGATATATATGATAGTATGGCCATAAAATTTTCCCTAAACTAAGGTGGTCTTATAAGAATCAATTATTGGCCTTTAATAATTATTGTAATATTTTAATATTTTCAACTATTATCTGTAAATCTCATGTTTAAAATGTGTAAGATAATTGGATCATAGAAAACTGAAATTTTTATTTTCCTTTTTCTAAAACAGAATACAATACTTTCTTTACATATATACTAGAGGCCCAGTGCATGAAATTTGTGCACTGGGGGGCGGGGTCCCTCAGCCAGCCTGCGCCCTCTCGCAGTCTGGGACCCCTCGCTCCTTACCACCCACCTGCTCGCTGCTCCTTAAAGCTTGGCTGACTGCTCCTTTGTGCTGCTGCAGCTGCACTCACCAACCATGAGCCTGGCTTCTGGTTGAGCAGCGCTCCCCCTGTGGGAGCACACTGACCACCAGTGGGCAGCTCCTGCATTGAGCTTCTGCCCCTTGTGGTCAGTGCGCATCATAGCAACTGGTTCTGGTCACTCTGCTGTAATGGTCACGTAGGCTTTTATTTTATATATATTACTTTCAGAGAGGAAGGGAGAGGGAGAGAAAAACATCAATGGTGAGAGAGAATCATTGATTGGCTGCCTCCTGCATGCCCACTGCTGGGGATCGAGCCTGCAATCCAGGCATGTGCCCTTGACTGGAACTGAACCTGGGACCTTTCAGTTCACAGACCGACGCTCTATCCACTGAGCCAAACTGGCTAGGGCAAAAAGCAAAAATTTTTAAAATGAGAAGAAATAAGGTCTTAAATAGTGAGGATATAGCTGCTGAACCAATGACATATATTTATAACTAGGACTTTATAGGCTTCATGATTATATAGGAATTTGGTTGATTTTTTTGCCACTAAAAAGTCCGTCACTCCATCAACAAAAATATTTTAATCTGTAAAATACAGAAAGTTAAAACAGAATTTTAAAGCATGGAGGGGCAGGGATTCGCCCTAGACTTAAATGGAGTAAGAACAGTAAACTACGTAAAGGAAGGGAACTGGAAGTGGACACTTTCATGAAATTTGACTGGAAGAAAGAAACCTGTATGTTGAAACAGTAAAACACAAGGTTAGATGAAAAAGATGTCTTAAAGATACAGCTTTAAAAAAAGTTTAGAATTATTTTCTATTATATTCCCCCAGTTTCTGACTCAAATAAATTAAAACCCTAATAAGGAAGAATTGAAAAGTAGGACTAGTCACAAAAGCCAGCTCAAAATTATTACCATAGTTTAAGATTGAGGTTCACCTAGGAATTTAGATTAATGCATAATAGTGTCAAAGATGAAAAGACAGGGAGAGAAACAAGACAATCTGAAAAAAAGAATCTACAGCTTTTGTAGTTTCCTGACTTTAGGGTTTGAGAGAGATGGTCAAAGGTGAGTCCAAGAATACTTATGGTATTTTTTTCAATTTTTGATATATATTTTAGGAAAGTCATTCAGCGTCTCTACTATCCATGTCTAGTGAGGAAGGAGAGAAAATAAGATGTGACATGCCCTGTGACTCTGCTCATTTATCAGGTTTGACTCACAGCCTTGCTTTTGTTTCTAAGTTAGTTACTGAAATGCTGTGAAAGTTCATCTAAAGGAATTATATATTTTAAGTCATACTAAATTATTCATTAGTTCATGTCAAAATGAAAACAAGGAACTAGATAGAATTTAATGCACAGTTGCCTAAAATGACATAAATAATTAATGAAACAAATTCTTTTTTCATAAAAGCAAGAACATATTAGGTATTTTAATCAATATTATAGCACTATTAATTTTTTAACTGTTCTTAAGGCCCTACACACCATCTTAATCGCAAACGAATGTACATAGAAGATATTAATCCTGTTGAAGTAGGATTGGAAGAAGAAGAGGAAGGGAGAGCAAACTTGCTTCCCAAAAAACTGTCTAAAATGGAAAATGCAGATCATCACAGTCACAAAAGTAGGTAGATCAAATGTGTTTGTCAAAATGTAGCTATTTGGGAAGGTAGTTTCTTAGATCTTGAGTGACTCTATCTACAAAACAAATCCTTTGTAAAGACAACTTTGGTCAAATCCAAGAAGGGTCATGTTTTATCACAAGTGTATTGATGTGAATAATGCAGTAAGAGTCTTTTTTACTCATAAATATCCTTCATCTTTCTATTACTGATTACCTCATACAAATTGTACTAGCGTGTGAACTTACTGAGAAATTAGTGTGTTACTAGATACTGGGGAGTACGGAAGTAGCTAAAACCATTAAAAATAATCTAAAATGTTCCATATTAATGTTACCATTCCTGCTTTAAATACCCATGCCAAAAGATTTTTTATAAATCAACTTTTTAAATTAAAAATATGTCTGCCTTTTTTTACACATAGAACCTAAAAATAAGGTTTTGTTCTCAGCTCATGACAAGTAAGGCTAAATTCGTAAAGTGTATTTTAACTTTGGTTGCTTGCCTTCATTTTTTAGTGTCTGAAAGTACATGTCCATTATCAGCAAATGACTCTTCTGTTCCTGTGAAGAACTGGGGAACTGAAATTTCAGATGTAGACATGATGTGTGAGCAGTTCAATACAGAATTTAAGAAGAAATATAATGTGAGTTATTTAAATTATACCCAGTAACATTATAATTATACCCAGTAACCCTACTTTCTTCTAAACCAGTGGTTCTGAACCTGTGGATGGTGACCCCTTTGGGGGTCGAACAACCCTTTCATAGGGGTCGCCTAAGACCATTGGAAAACACATATATAATTACATATTGTTTTTGTGATTAATCACTATGCTATAATTATGTTCAATTTGTAACAATGAAAATACATCCTGCATATCAGATATTTACATTACGATTCATAACAGTAGCAAAATTACAGTTGTGAAGTAGCAACGAAAATAATTTTATGGTTGGGGGTCACCACAACATGAGGAACTGAATTAAAGGGTCGTGGCATTAGGAAGGTTGAGAACCACTGTTCTAGACTATCCACTTGTTTGATCTTTTGGCAACAAAACACCCATTTGTGAATTCAACTTTCCTCATGCAGTGGTGAAAAATTGGAATGCTTCCTGGGTGAAAACCTTTTATCTCATGAGTGTATTTCTCTTCTAAAAGCCGTGCATTATCCCTATTGTTTTTTTTCCTACAGGTTCTTTCTCTTTATCCTATTTTTCTTTTTAACTAGTAGCCCAGTGCATGAAATTCGTGCACATTAAAAGGGAATTAATTGCCCTAACCGGTTTGGCTCAGTGGATAGAGCATTGGCATGCGGACTCAAGGGTCCCAGGTTCGATTCTGGTCAAGGGCATGTATGTACCTTGGTTGTGGGCACATCCCCAGTGGGGAGTGTGCAGGAGGCAGCTGATCAATGTTTCTCTCTCATTGATGTTTCTACTCTCTATCCCTCTCCCTTCCTCTCAGTAAAAAATCAATAAAATATATTTTAAAAAAGGGAATTAATTAGCAGAGATATTTTAATATTGCTATTTGCCCTTTCTCTATAATAAGTGTGAGAGATGAAAGGAAATTAGTAAAATGTATATGAAAATCATACATAAATTTATTAATAAACAGTAACAAAAGGATATAACAACAACAGAGGCATGATATAAAAATGGCAAAAACATGATATGAAAACAACAGTGATGCAAACAATAACTGATAAAGTGATTAAACTTATTCTAATATCTCCCTGTACACCACATTAAGAGTGAAAACACTTTCAGAGTGCTTGACTAATTTCCCTTGTGATGAAGTACTTAGAACTTTAACTGTAACATCACATACTCTTCAAACTCGAGAGAAAGCAGTATATAACTGACCATGTGCAAAAATGGGTTCAGGTAGGAATATGCCTACTCTGTCTAGAGTTTGTCCTTGTGATTTATTAATAGTCATCACAAATGCTGGCATCACGGGAAACCATCGTTGAATCAATTTAAATGGGAGGCCAGTGTCAGATGGGGACAAATTAATTCTTGGATTCAGAACAGCCTCTCCCACTGCAGATCCTGTTAATACTTCAGCTTCAATAATGTTAGGTCGTAATCTTTTGAAAATAAATCTGGTACCATTACAAAGACCCTATTGACTATTGAGATTTCTCAATAGCATGATGATTGCACCCACTTTCAATTTTAATTTATGACATGGCATTCCCGAAGGAGTAATACTATTAACACATTGTTTGCGGGTAGTTTTTATCTTGTGCTAACAGGTGGCGCGGGCCATTTTTGCTAATTTTTTGCGCAAATGGCAACGTTCAGTAAAATTACGATAACTTTAGTTTACATATTTATACATTACCCGCATTCTACCGCTAGTCTATAAAAAACGTATTAATACGTGTCCCGCGCTCTACTACACTGGTAGAACATATAAATACGTAAAACGTATAAATACGTTTCCCACATACAATGTGTTAAGAAATTCGATGGGAAAATTTTCCTTTTCAGCATCATCTGTGGAATCAATGGAATCATCACTCAAATATGTGTGAAAATCTCCGAGTATATCCAAATTTTCTTCATTTAATTTTTGAACATGCTCATTTTTTGGACAAAAATTGCACGTTTAGATATATTTTTAATATTATCTATAGCAGTGGTTCTCAACCTTGGCTGCACATTAGAATCACCTGGGAATCTTTTTAAAATCCTGATTCCTGGGCCTCATCCTCCAGAAACTGTTTCTTTGTTATGGGGTGGGGTCACAACATCAGTAACAAAGAAACAGAATTAAAACTTTATTGTGGGGAGCCGCTAGTGTTTTGGACAGGTTCAAGCCTTGGACTGAGGAGAGGGCACAGTCCTCTCATTGCCATGTGCAGGTCCCAGCTTGGAGGGCAGGGCCCTCTCAGCACAATTATAGCCAACAGCTGTAGCTGTAAGCTTGAACCTATGGTCTGAACACGTGGCCCCATGTGCCTGAGTGATGTGGGCTTGATAGAGTTCAGGTGCATGTTGTTGAGTAGGATTGAGACCTAGGAGAATGTTGTAAACAACTTGGTCACACCCTTTTTTTGCCTCGTAGGATTGAAACCTAGGAGACTGTTGTAAACAACTTGGTCACGCCCTTATTTTGCCTCGTAGCATCTGCTATAAAATAAAGGCATGGCTGTGGGCAGGGTCGTTGTCTCTCAGAGAAGCAGTGTCCCACCGAGACCCGGCTTTCATTCTCTTGTCTATCTTTTCTAAGTGTTTCAGCCACCCCCACTCAGGTTTACCCCTGGCCGTGCTGGCGTGGCACACTCTCAGGGAACCACGCTCCCAGGGCGGGTTCCTGCCTCAAACCCCGCCCTTGCCGGAAACAGCTCCAGGAAACAGCTGGGGAGGGTGCAGCCATTGCCAAGACAACCCCTGTAGGACTGACTTCCTTCTGGTTGGTCACGGCTGTTCTTCTGGATGTGATGAACACCACCCATGGTTTTTATATAAGTAGGTTGGTTTAACATTTTGACTCTTCTGTGGTGGTTCTTTTTTTTTAATCTCAGAGGTGACAGCTAGTGAAGGTACTAAAGGATGAGCAGCCTGTCAGAGAAATCCCATTTCACTTTGACCAGCTCTGTACTTACTAGTATATATCTATCCTTAGTTATTGAGGTTCCAATGTGGTCATGTTGATTTATTTGAGGTTGACCTAGTATAAATAGAGAAGCCCTCCTTGGTTGCGGGCCCATCCCCACTGGGGAGTGTGCAGTAGGCAGCTGATCGATGTTTCTCTCTCATTGATGTTTCTAACTCTCTATCCTTTCCCCTTTCTCTCTGTAAAAAATCAATAAAATATATTTTTAAAAAAATAGAGAAGCCCTGACTTGTATATAGGGTGGGGCAAAAGTAGGTTTACAGTTCTGAGTACTCAAAACACAGTTTATTATCCTTATGCACAACTGTAAACCTACTTTTGCCACACCCTGTATTATACATCTGGCTAGATGTGAATACAGTAGGTCCTTAGGTTACATCAGAGACCCATTCCTACGGCATGAAGTAATGCGATTTTCACTGTAAGTCAGAACCCACCTACATAAGCACCTATATCATGCACATGGAGCACATACACAGCAGTAATGAAGTGAAACAGTAAAAAAAAATTAAAATAAAGATAACAATTCCTAACCTTTACTTGTGGTAAATAAATGATAAAAAAACATAAAGCACATATGTACATACATCAAATGACGGAACTTTTTTTTTTTAATAAATAAACTAATGGCCCTGTCCATGAAATTTGTGCACGGCAGTGGGGGGAGCGGTGTTCCCTCAGCCCAGCCTGCACCCTCCAATTTGGGATCCCTCTTGCAATCTGGGACTGCTGGCTTTTAACTGCTCACCTGCCTGCCTGCCTGATCGCCCCTAATCACTGCCTGCCGGCCTGCTTGCCCCCAACTGCCCCCCCCCCCACCAGACTGATAGCCCTCAACTGCCCTCCCCTCCTGACCTGATCGCCCCTAACTGCCACTGCCTTGGCCTCACCACCATGGCTTTGTACGGAAGGATGTTGGGAAGGTCTCCTGGTCTAATTAGCATATTACCCTTTTATTAGTATAGATGGGAGATAGCGATGTAACCACAAAATGATGTACATTGAGTCCGAGGTAACCCGAGGACTGCCTGTATATGTTTTTGTGAAAAATGGTGATAAATAATTCTGACTCTGACTTTGAGGCTGTATTCCTGAAGGGAATTGTAATCACTCGCATTTTTAAAAAATATTGTAGAGTGTAGTGTCCTTATGAAAATGATTAGTTGCCAGTTCAGCCCTTAGTCAAAGCCTTTCTGATGGAAGCAGACACTGCTCTGCCTGAGCTTACTCATTAACACTTCCGGCTCAATCACTGAGCTGTTAATTTTTCACTTTTCTAAGTTCTTAGTCATTTACATTTTGTGGAAAAGGCTTTGTTTTTTATTTTGTTAACAAATATTTTTCAGAGTCACCACAAATTGATGGATAATTTTACTATGCAGTCTTGGAAAACAGCTCAACAACATCTGAAAATAATGAACCGTCATATTCAGGAATACAGGTATGTAATAAAAATCTCCTTTGAATGCTGTATGTTCTGAGTGCTATAGTTTTTAAAAATAATCTTATTTTGTTTCCTTAATAGGATAAAAAAACTTGATAAATTCCAGTTCAGCATCATAAAAGAGTTGGAGAATTTTGAAAAAGATTCACAGTCTTTAAAAGATTTGGAGAAGGAATTCGCGGTTTGTGTTTTAAGAATTTAAAAATAATTGTATAACCTCATTTTTAAAGAGCTACACTCAGGAAAACCTCTGGTGACCTGCTTTTAGAGCCTCCATAAATATTTTTAGTCGATTTCTTATAAACACACTTAAATTATAGACTTTAAATTTATGATGAGGGAGAAATCAAGAGAGACTTTACTTTCAATATTTTTTATCTAGAAAGAGTTTATAACATCTGGAATATTCTTAGCATGTAGCCAGCTTGTTTATTTAAATTAGAAATAGAAATATAGAAAATTCTACTGTCAACTTTGAATATTTAATGCTATTAAAGCATAACTAGTTTTTGTATTAAAATTTAGGACTTTGGAGAAAAGATGGTTCAGAAGTTCAGTGCCTATCAAAAAAGTGAACAAGAGAGGTTAGTATGACACTTTCTAGGACTGGAATCTATAAAACTAGTTTGTATTATTTATAATGTTTACTTTATATACTATACTATAGAGATTTAATTTGACTTCCTGATAAATGCCTTTGTAACTTGTCATTATTTTACTTGTTAGGCTTCACCATTTGAAAGCTTCCTTGGACAAAAATGTCTTCTATGGCACGGGTCAAGAAGAAACTATTTGTACATCTGAGGTATCAATTTCATATTTTTTATATAATTTCAGTACTGGTTAGTCTATCTTTGTGAAAATTTTATAGTAAATTTCATGGGGAAAATACATATGTTGATTTTTACAGATGTGTTCCATGAAAGAAAACATGAAAATTCTGCAAGACAAGCTTCTTAAGAAAATGGTAAATCAATTATCTAGTTTGGGTTTTTCAAATGGAATAAATATGCCTTTATTTCTTTTAACAGGAAATTGTTTCACAGGTTTTCTTTTTAGATTGAGAGGAGGCAGTTTTAGCTTAGTTGACTTTGGTATATAAATTAGAATAATGGGAGCATATTTATAGTAAAATACTAGAGGTGATTTAAAAGTGACCCTCCTGCCCTGCCTGTGTGGCCCAGTGGTTGAGCATTGACCCATGAAGTAGGAGGTCACGGTTTGATTTCCCATTAGGGCACATGCCTGGGTTGGGGGCTCAGTTCTCTCTCATCATTTATGTTTTTCTCTCTCCCTCTCCCTTCCTCTCTGAAATCAATAAAAAAATATGTGTTAAAAATAAATAAATAAATAAATAGTGAATAAATAGAGACCCTCCTAAAAGAAAAAAGACTATCAGTTTCCCACTTGAACAGTCGCTAGAAGAATGAGTCTAAGCACTATGCAGAGCAGTAGAACTCTGCCTTCTCCAGGAGAAGGGGTATCAGGAAACCCCCAAAAAATTATTGTCCACTTGGACAGCAAGACTTTGTATACATAGATTTGGGGATAAAATTAAGTGCTTCTTACAGATCTAGACCAGAGCTGGTTCTGGGGGGAAAGTACAGTTGTATGGGGGCTAAAGGCACTGCTCCAAGTGAACGTGTCGGTTTTTTCTCAAAGAGAGTAGACATGTTTTTGTATATTTGGTACTAATCCTTTTATATAGGCCATAATGTATTTAATAAATTTTAATAGAAGCTCAACATGCTGAAATAGTTGAAGATCAGGATGTTGAGCTTGAAGCAGACAAGCTAACTAACTAGATTGATCCTTTTTGAAATTGTTTCCTAGCCTATACTTACTTTACTTTCTTTATTTAAATATTAAATATAAATTTCATTGACTTGGGATTGAAAAGACTGAAAGTCTTCTCTCAATTGGTGATCAGTGATGATCATCAAGTGCTGTAGATATCTAGGACTAGATGCTGGGGGAGCAGAGAATGAGTACATTTGTTATAGCATTATGGAAGGGGTTGTTTTAAAATGAATCCCTAATAATGACATAATTTTCTTTCTTGGCCATAGCAAGAAGAGGAGCTTCTTAATGTACGCAAAGGACTACTGTCATTATTCATGGCTTGTGAAACAAATGTTAATGTGGAGCTCTAGCTGTTACCAAGTTCTATCCAATTCCTTTTTGTGTATAACTGAGGAAATACCAAATACAAAGAAAAAATACATGTTCCCCAGGAAAGAGTGCCTTTGACTCTGGATTCAAGGAAAGATCTTATGGATGAGAAAACAAACATTATAATAATACTCCAAACCCCCAACCTTGTCTGTACAATACTGCTCTTTTTTTTTTTTTTTTTTGGCTTCTTTTGTAGTAATATTAGCATTAGGCAGATAGTACTGTTAACTATACTGAATTATATTTATTATATTTACAAAACTAATTTAATCAACTAAAATTTATCACATAAAAAGTATTTTAGCCAGCACCGGTTTGGCTCAGTGGATAGAGCGTCGGCTTGTGGACTGAGGGGTCCTGGGTTCGATTCCGGTCAAGGGCATGTACCTTGGTTGCGGGCACATCCCCAGTGGGGGGTGTGCAGGAGGCAGCTGATCGATGTTTCTCTCTCATCGATGTTTCTGGCTCTCTATCCCTCTCCCTTCCTCTCTGTCAAAAATCAATAAAATATATTTTAAAAAAAAAAGTATTTTAAATGTATATAGTTTTATATATTATATTACTACTAGAGGCCCAGTGCATGAAATTCATGCACAGGTAGGATCCCTAGGCCTGACTGGCGATCAGGGCCAATCAGGGCCTTCCTTCCCCTGGCTGCTGACTGCTGGCCAGGGCCTTCCTTCATTCCAAGTCACCTGGTAGTCAGTGCACATCATAGCAAGTGGTCAAACTGATTGGTTGAACTCTCGAGGGGACAATTTGCATATTAGCCCTTTATTATATAGGATGTATTAAACTTGTCTACTAGTTCAGAATATTTATAGTAATAAAAAAAATTAAGCCACCCTTGGAGAAGTCTTTGATTTAAAATGTGTAAGTGTAAATTGGTACTTTCAGCACACTGTGGGAGAATATATTTATTCAATTATGACTCCAAAGTACTAAATAGCCTAAAACAATGACTATATTGTCAATATTTTAATTCTAGGTAGACATCTTAACTCATAGCAGGCTGTTTTGACAAGTACTTATTAAGCTGTTCACTGCAGTAATTTTCAAGATTATTTTATAAAAATGAGTACACATTTAATTTGCTTTAATTGCATAGTATATTAAAGTTGAAATAAATGCCATGTCATTTGGATAAATATTATAATCATTATTTTCCTATTTTACAAACATTGGGTCGCACAAAGTATCCTTCTCCAATCAGATATCTAAAGTACAATATAATACTAATCAGCCTTACTCGCTATTGCTTGCCTGCCTAATGATAGCAGAGTATATGGATACTACCAGTATTTCAATTCAGTGGCAAAGTGCCTTGTTCTTCATTCAATTATTACTGTCAGCTAAGATTTATTGATAGGATGCCAGGGATCCTATTTCAGAGATAGTTACAAGTACTACACTATTAAAGACTATTCAGGAGTTGCATTTCCATGTTGCCTGAGAGACTTTTAGAACACTTTGTGGACATGTTTACCTCATCCGTGGCCAGACATACAAGACTCTAATTCAGTGGTTCTCAACCTTCCTAATGCTGCGACCCTTTAATACAGTTCCTCAAGTTGTGGTGACCCCCAACCATAAAATTATTTTCATTGCTACTTCATAACTGTAATTTTGCTACTGTTATGAATAGTAAAGTAAATATCTGATATGCAGGATGTATTTTCATTGTTACAAATTGAACATAAAGCATAGTGATTAATCACAAAAACAATATGTAATTATATATGTTTTCCAATGGTCTTAGGCGACCCCTGTGAAAGGGTCATTCGACCCCCAAAGGGGTCGCGACCCACAGGTTGAGAACCGCTGCTCTAACTCATACATCACATTTTCTCCCTTACTGCACTGTGTGTGTAATCCAGCCCAGGTTCCTACTTCCTCCCTGCTCTTCCTAACCTGCTGCTGTGTCCATGTCATTGCCCGTGTCATTGCCCCTGTGAATATCAGTTTCCAACATCCTTATCCCCTACCGTCCTAGCTCTCCAGCTTGCTCTTTTTATCCTAAGAAACATTCAAACCTGTAAAGAATTTTTGTGAGTTTATTTGAGCCAACCTGTCGACAATTGCCAAGAAGCAGAATCTCAACGAATTAAGATGATGCTCCAGAGAATGGTGGTTTTTCACTTTGTTTTATACATTACAATCAAAGGAGGAGATGTAAGTGGATTACATGAAATCCATTGGTGACAGATTAGGAAGGTGGGAGAAAGCAAAGAGGGGCAGGTACCTCTGGGATTGCTAGTAGATAAAAAGTAAAATAGACACATGTTTCTTTTACATAGGTGGGTACATGCCGGGGTCTTTTCCGCATCTACAAGGGTTTAGGAATCTGGAGAAGGAGCTGCAATGTAAATTAATAAAGAGACTAGACATGAAATGTAAATTTGGGAGGCATTTTGGGGGATCCAGGGGAGGCTTAGCTTTAGTAACTAAGCTCCCTGAATCTCTGCACCCAGGGCTTTTTATTCACACATTTTGCCCTATAGCAAAGCAGATATACATATCAAAGGGAAGGTTTGGTAAACAACAAAGTATTATCAGGTTGGGGGAACTACCCTCAGCTGTTCCAGCAGCAGGTAATAACATGCACACTTTCAGCCCTGCTGAAAGAGTCCGTTCAACCTTTTGAGGACTTCTCACATTTACTATGAAGGTACAGGTACAGGATAGTTAACAGTCAACAATTAACAGGATAACAATAACAATGAAGGAATTGGTGATCTCTGCCCTGGTGCCTTGCTTGTCTGTGAGGGGTCTGGAAAAAGGGAAGTTATAAGTTACCCTGACATTCCACAGGTATGTTATTTTAGATGCAAAACGACAATAGGCTCAGTAAAGATCTAAGTTAATCTTTGTCAGGGACATGACTACCTACCATAGACTGCTTTTTAAAGTTTTAATTTCAAACCATCCTTTGTGGTTACTTTAGGTCTCTGAGTTTGCAAGGCCACCATGCAGGCCTTTCCCGAGCTTGTCAGGTTAGCATGTGGCTCCTTTTTGTCCACACTCTCTATAGTTGTCCCATGTGGTTTGCTATGCCTGTTACCCTTCCTGTTCTTCCTTCCCCATTCTAGACTCCTTACAAAATTATACTCTTGCCTTCCCTCCTTCTCCTCGATGTGATCCACTAATTCACACTCCTCATTCCTCAATCTGAACATCACTAGGGAAAACACATAATCAAGCTTTAGTTTATGACCACATATTTCAAATGGCTTTTCAGCATCAGTAGGAGGACTGCTGTGGTGGGCCTTGAAGCCTAGGGTGAGGGGCCAGGTGGAGCTGCTGTAGGTACAGATCTTGGTGAAGAATTTGCTCAACCCTGCAGATATAGCAGGCAGGCCTGACAGCAGCTGGATGGCTTGGCTTTTCTGCCATGACAGGCACATAGAAACCTGTTAATGTAAAAACACTGAAACCTGTAAGGAATTTTTCTGAGTTTATTTGAGCCAAACTGTCTACAGATGCCAGGAAGCAGTGTCTCAAAAGATAGGGAGGATAATGCTCTAGACCAGTGATGGCGAACCTATGACACGCGTGTTAGAGGTGACACGCGAACTCATTTTTTTGGTTAATTTTTCTTTGTTAAATGGCATTTAAATATATAAAATAAATATCAAAAATATAAGTCTTTGTTTTACTGTTACAGAAAAACCGGACAAGAACCAGACAGCACTCTGAGAATTTGGAGTTACACTATATTCACTGCATCGGGCTTAGGGAAATGAATCCAAAATCTAAGCAAAACTACAAGCAGAACTTCCCTTTTTATAGAAGAGCCAGCCCTTTGTGTGCTTGCTGGCAGCGGCCTTGAAAACTATACAGTTCTATCCAATTAAAAAATGCACCTGGCATGGCATTGGGTGTATCTAGTCTCTGGCCTACAAGGTCAGATAACTAAGTTTATCTCCCTCACTATTCAAGCAGGCTAGAAAGCAAAGTTACTTTTTCAGAATAAGAGGCTGTCCAAAGAATAGCAGAGAATTCCAAACAGTAGTTTTACAGAATAAGAGTTTTCCTTCACATTCCACCCACTTGTCCCACAAGCTTTTCAGCCTTGTGGTAGAACAACCACAGGATGTTAAGGTGAACAAGGGCGTTGACCGATCTTTTACTACTACCTGCTGAAAAAGGGTGAGGTCCAAGGGGTTAACATCCCGTTTCTTCCTCTTGGAGAGGTTTGTAGGGAATTCTTCTGGCTTGCAGGACCATTTGAAGTTTAAAGGCATCTAAATGGGATGAGATAAAGTGAGTTAACAGAATTAGAAGACATTGTCCTAGGATTATGGCCATGAGTAGCATTAACAGTTGTCCTGTCAATGGAAGGAGCTATTTCCAGATCCCCCCCACCTCCATGCAGCCCAGGTCTCAGATAACTCCTGTTTTATTCATCTTGTTTCTTTTTTTATGTAGGAAGCAGTAATTTTATGGTGCTTCTGTATTCCAGCAAGGGCAGAAGAGTTCTCCTCCTGGGACCAGCCTCGGGTTCCTGCGGCACTCATAAAAAGACAAAATGAGAATTACTAGAAAGATAAAAACAATGATTATCCAGAAATACCAGAGCATTTTGCCTTTAAGAGAAGATAAGAAACAAAGTGTAAGGAAGAATTCAGCAGGGTGTTCTCTGAATCCTTTGGAGCAGGTTGATTGGCCAGGTCCATTGTCTTCTTGAGGGTGATCTACAACAGGTGTGTCTGGTCAGAAGTCACCTTCCAGTCAGGCTCCTTGCTGTCCTGGGCAGAGAAGGAGCTGGGCTTGTGACCTGGCAGAGACAAACTATAACAAATGGTCCGGTGGAAGGGAAAGAAAACATTTCAGTTTCAACAACATCTATTGAAATAGGATTTTTCTCCTTAAAATTCCTCTATGATTATCAAAAAGCCAAATCAAGATTAATTTATCTACTGTATTCAATTTGGCCTGATGGTTTGCATAAACACAACAAGAATGGTAACTGACTACCTTTGCTGGAATCTCATGATTGAATCTTAATGTGCCCAGTAGGGCCAGGAAGCCAAGCCATCCAGCTGCCATCAGGCCTGCCTGCAGTATCTGCTGAGTTAGGTGAATCCCTCACCTATAGCAACTCAACCTGAGCCCATGCTCTAGGCTTTAAGGCCCATCTCAGTAGCCCTCCTACTCGTTGTAGCCCAGAGTGA